CTAAGAAGGATAAGTATAAGCAGTAGAAGCGTAAGCTAATTATTAGTAAGGGCACTAATTCTATATAATACTAGTTTAGGCTGCGTGATTAATATCCTAACTTTAGTAAGATAGCGCTTATAATACTCTTTATACTAGCTTTAAGCTGTGAGTGTAAGCGCGTTTTTAGTAAGCTTAGAGATTTACTAGAGCCTTACTAATGCTATATATTACCTAAGCTACTTGCAGCACTACACTTAGTATAATAATAGAGACAGGCTAGTTTTAGTGGCAGCAATAACAATAATATAGGCTAATTAAAGCTTACTAACAAGCAGATAGACGTTTTATATAAGCTTAGTAAGTAGGTAGGTAAAGACAACAATCTAGATACATAGGACAACAGCTAAGACTTAACACTAAAAAATATATACAACTTTCCTATTTAGAAATTAAGCACCTAAGCTACTAATTAAGCTAGCAACTTTCTGCTAAGCTAATTTAATTAATCTAGCTAAACCTTATACTAAAACGCAATTAATCAAGCTAGAAACTGCCAGCTTGCTTGATTGATTAATCTTAGGTGTGCTAGGTATGATAGGTTGTTAAATAGATTGTAATTAGTAGTTTAACGCTCTGCAAGCTCCTCTTGTGCACGCAGAGCTGGGAGCACTTCTTCTGGATTGAAAGGAACAATGCCTGTACGCTTAAAACTGCCTAGAATTGTACGCTAGGTAAATGTCTTTAACTTAATTTTATAGAGAGAAGCTAGGAACTTAGTCTTTATAAACAAGCTTGCACTAGTCCTTACAGCAAAGTTAAGCTCCTGCCTATAGTGCCATTTTATAGGCTAGAAGCAGCCTACATCTAATAGCTAGAGAAAGTGAGTTGTGTGAGGAGGGAGCGCGTATAGTTAGATCTTATTGTTATAGGCGTATTTAACTAGCTTATAGGTAACGTGGCTTTTATAACTGTCTATAAGGAGCATCCTCTAGGCGCCTTTTGTACAATCCTTTGTTATACAGTTAAAATGCTAGATAAAATTGTAGGACAGTTAATCATTACTATACGCAGTATTACTAGTGCTAATTAGGTAGTTATCTAGCAGCTCTATGCACCACCTCTTAATAATACTTAAGGCCTTAATAATTACTATAGGAGCTATAGATTCTCTACTAGCAGAGACAGCCTTAATAAGGGTAATAAGCTCCCTATTATTGCTGTAAGGCATATAGCAAAGAGACTTATGTTTAGTGTACATATATTAACTCTTTATAACACTAATTCTTATACTAAATTTATTAAAATTCTAGATATCTTAAGGTATAATCCTATGCTTATTAACCTTCTTCTTAAAGCTATTAAACTACTCTAAAATAGCAGCAGGCTGCTAAGTAAGCTTTTAGGCAACTTTAATAAGCTTTTATTTCTGTTGCGCAAATTATAGGTGTCTTTTAAGCTAATTAGTAGGCTATTTCCTGCCTACTATAGGAGGCTCTCTATTTTTATTATACGCAAGCAGCGCGTTTGCTGTGCTCTGTATAAGCTTATGTTAAACACTAAAGCTAATATTGTTAATATAATTAATAAACAGCTTTAGCGTAACTTTTTAATTACTTATAAAGACTTAGTTTGTTTTTTAATACATAGATTAATTACGCCTACCTTAGTAGGCCTGTTTAAGTTGCTAGTAGAGTAGGTTGTTGACGCGGGCGTACAACGCCAGATTTGGATTTTCATGCTGCAGAAGCTCTGCAACTGCATGCTTAATACGAGCTGCAGTAGCTCTATAGTCTGCAGATTAATTAGGAGGCATTAAAGGTGAATAGAGCTTAATTGGCAGGTTAAATTAACGCGTTTTTAAAAGGATTTAATTAATTAATTGTTAAGCTGGGTATGATTGTTGAGCCTGCAGGCCCGCGCGCAGCGCGGGCCTTTTTGTTCCAAAAAGTTGATTAGTTAACCCGTCGGGGCCCGAGTAAGTATACTTGCCTGACCACCATAACTTCTAAGACTGCTTAAGGGTGGAAGGTGAAATCCAAAGCTATAGCATGAAGGAGGGGCAGTGCCTAAATGCGAAACTCAATTTAAAGAAAGCAGTAGTGGAGTACAAGTGCTAGTATTATACGATAGGCAATATCACCACAAACTAGCGATCCCAAACCAAACAGGAACCCTTAATAAACTGTCATGAAAGACACAGCCCAGACTGTGCGAACCCACCAGTATTCTTCTTCAATCTCTTTTCAAATCCCCACCCTCAATACCGTCATGACTCTTCACAGGAACACACATCTCCTCACTACTCCCACTACCACTAATACCGCCAACCATCCCACTAACCATCACCCCAAGTGTTAAAGACCCATGGCTGTTTAACACCATTGCGCCACCTTCCACACTTGTTAAATTCTTGAAATCTAATTCTAAACTCGTCCTCCTCATCCTCAAATAACATGCCGGAATGTGATAATGATAAACAGTGGAATCATCTTAAGGTTAACTAAGAAGGGTTATGGAGCCAAAATTAGGGGATCCTTACGTTGACTGAGAACAACAGGCTAAGCTAGAGCTAAGAAGCTAGTGACAATGTGTATAGGAATAGCGTCAGTAAAGTCATACACTCCAAGTTAGTAAAGCCAACCGTTGGGATTCTGCTCAAATTATTCGTTATTTCTCGTTCTTTCCGGTTTCTGGGGTGGAGAGGGTACATGCCTAGACAGCGGAGCGGAAATCAAGCGTGAATTTTACTCAGCGGAGAGACAACAACGGCTGCGTACGTCGTTCATGGGTACCCGCTGTCATGGTGTTAGTAGGAATGATGGATTTGATTGGATAAACTTCCAACATTTGCGTAACCGGTTGACAGGGTCTCGTAGTCTATGGAATTGGTATCAATCCACTTGCGCTTAAGAGTACCTACGATGGTATGCTCCAGACTTGCGCCAGCCTCTGCGTCCACCCAGAACCAGTGAATGTGCATAATTAGTTTGAGGTGGCTAAAGATATGTGTTATTATCCCAAGTTCACCCGTGCACCTTAGTTCAGTTGTGCCGGCGGTTCTGAGATCCATCGTTAGTATAAGCCCTTCCGCTGCGGAATTGCGGTTCGCCACCGAATGTTTCGAGGCTGAAAGAGTACTTTAAGGAAAGTGACGTAAGGATTGCGGTTGTCCTTTATCTCCAAACGAATCTCCTCTCTGACAGTCATTATGAGTGGCCCAAGTCGAAGCAATAAAGTTGTATTATATTAGGTGAGTCATATCTTCCAACTAAGAATTTAGATAAGGCGTTCATCATCCAGGTGTGCATAAAGGGCAGTGGGAGTCACCATACATTTCTTCAGCGCTGTGGCCCGTGCGCACATATAACTTCTTTCAAAATAGCTGTTTTCAACCCCCTCAGACCACATACATCCATAACCTCTCAAGCTCGATTCCAAAGTACTGTCACTGTATTTGGGTTGCGTGAATAAAGATAGAGAAATCGCTCAAAGCACTCCACTGTCACCACAGGCGTGCAGTGTTGACACACCAGATCAGTCTATTTATCAATTCCTCTTTTGCAAAAATGACCGCTTTCTAGTCTGTGATTGGGATTGCATCTTCCCGCTCTGTTAGGTTATGTATCTGTCTTGTGTTGTGAACAGTCCCAGAAATATCAGTTAGAAAACTGTAAGAAAAATACAAGATGTTGAAAAAGTGGCTGCGCGAGGCTCCTCAGACTACCTGAGAACCACCAGTACGAAAAGGGGTTTTTAACCACTACGACAAGAATGGGGACACTAAAGGGAGGCATATAATACTAATTTCCAGGACATTTCCTCTACTGTCTACCTTCTATTGAACCACGTGTAGCCCTTCTCGTTTTAGGTTCGCTTAGCTCATTCGCTTCCGCAATCTTGCTACCGCAACTCGACTCTTCTTTGTAGCGCGGAACGCAGTTAGATAGGACCCGTTCTTCTTTACGCCTTCTTTCCCCCCTAATCTAGTGCTCTTTCTCTTCTTCATGCACATCACATTGCACCCACGCCAGGGTGTTCAAAACAGTACCACAGTCCAAGCATTTTCACAAACTGTGCCGCCGTGTCTCGTTTAACTCGGACGATTTAACGCTAGGGCCTAGGGCGTTGCTACGCTCTCAACTATATCGGTTAATAGTCCTCAGTCTACGACTTTCACCGCACATCTCTTTCAAACGATACAATCGTTCAACTGCAGCTAGTCTTGCTCCCTAATGGCATCCTAGGAATATAACGCGAGCAGTAAGAGCCCTTCTTTAACTCTGCCGGTTCCCCAATCTCTACGCCTTTCCTTTGCAGGTGTGAACAATCGTTTCGAAATCGCAGCCTCCATGAAGAAAGTGCCTACAGAACCACTCCAAGGAGCGAGATCACCAATGAGCGGGAACACTCACCAGACTAACTAGAGTTTTGCATGCGAATCCACAACTGAGTTTCCTTCCTCTCCAGAGAGCCTCCCCTCCGGCGGCATCCTCAAACTACCCAGTCCATTACTGGCTCGTACCCATCGTTTGGGTTTATTGTCCAATGAAGACATACATCTTATTAAGATAAATTATAGCTAAAAAAGAAAAATGCATTCACTACACTTCCCAAGAGACTCCGCGGTAATGAGACCATCAAACTACGCAGTCCTTTACAACTTAGTACTTGCTAAGTCCTTTGCACGAATCAGTCAGGTATAACTGTTCCGTAGGATTTACTGAGGGCAAATCGTAAGGTCTTTGTGTCCAGTGATATGTCACAGCCATTGTAAAGTTTATTTACAAATGAACTCGATCTGCAAGACATGGTGTTATATCAAAGCCATCTATACATCAGCTTTCTATGTCAATATTGAACGGCCACAGGCTCCCAGCTTGTTCTTCGCTCATCCTAGGCTCGCCAGAGTCCGACTCTTAAGCTCTCTTCATCCACATTTCAAATGGAGACGCATTTAGCTCTCTAGCTATCTCTTAGCAAGTCACACACACCTAACCATCAGTACTTATTCTGGTCATTTAGGCGAGAAACAACCTCATAAGTTGTGCATCATTAAAATCTTCCCAATGTTTTGGGTGCCGGGTCATTTCTTCTGGTGATGACTGATGTGGAGAAGAACCCGGCAATCCTAGTTCGTTCCAACGCTGAGATAACTCAATCAAAACCTGACAAGGGCTAGCTACACCTTTGCTCTAAGATGTAGCGCAGCAGTGTATGGTCTGAGTAGTGTTTGATCAAGAGTCCGAGCAGATGATAGTTTTGGAACCTAGCCTCTTAAGCCAACTTCAAATATCTGCCCACGTATCGAGATGATCTCCTCGCGTTTCCCGTCTTAAGGCGTATTTTCCCGTGCGGGTTGCCAAGGTCATTATAGAATAGAGGCAAATCGCTCAGTGGCTCAGTCACCATATATGGTGTTTCATTGGGAAAGATAAATGTTGGCTCGATAGTAATGGATTGTCAATCAATTACAGGCGTTATGCAGGTGGTCTCATCCTCGGATACGAAAATGTTCCTTACGGGGCAATTGGGGTGCAGAAGCATCGGTTCTACAATATCCTAGATGCCGGGATTTTTTATTACTTCTCTGATGACTGTTTCGTTAACTTCTAATAGGCGGAGGTGTTCGTGAAAGATTTCACTAGAATATGTTGAGCCCGCGAGGATGGTTGGAGATATCGAAAAACCTGTGTCGATTAAGTCGGAGCGATACGAATTTAAATCAGCCCCTAAGTGCGCTAGATAAAGTTAGCGCCCGGAAATAACCTGAAAACAGTCGTGACGGAATAGATATGAGTTCACAAGGCTCTTGGTTTGAGCTTCTCCTGTCGTAGTAACGAATTTCTGCTCGTTGCGAGCACCAGAAATATGATGGACAGTGCGGCTCTACGCAGATATCGCCAGTGAAGACCAGTTTTGAAGAGTATCTAAAGGGCGCATCCGAAAAGGAGAGGCTTTCGTATGCGGGAAACAGTAGTTCTGCCATCTCTTTCGCTAATTTTGCAACGGCCTTCATAAATTGCATTTGTTGGTGTGTTCATTTCATTCCATACACACGCAGCTGGGCACTAGAGCTATATTCCATAATGATATACTCGGCTCCTATTGGGTTTGCAGGACCGTCGCTCTAATCCTGGATATTTGGCACTGGAACATTGGTTCGAGGACGAATGTGGGCCATAGTCGCGGCTTCGGAACTAGTGGCCAATCTTGCAGTTTCAGCGGTTCGGAGCGAAATTCTTACCACAACTTTATTTCATTATCCTTTGTGAAGAGGAAGGCTCTGTTGGAGGATCCTTCTACCTTCCTTTGCTTGAATATCTCTTTGGTACTTGGACATGCTTGTATTGCCTTATTGCATAAAATGGAAAAATCGAAGTCGATATGACGGGCACCTTGCTGGGCTTTACCGTCTTTAAGCCAGCGTCCGCTTGTATATGTAAATGGATCCAATCTTATTTGGGTTTGTGTTCGGCATGTAAAGCGGCAGGCGGCATATTTCGTATCATCGCAGTTGCTAAGAAGGTAAGGAGGGGCAGCGTAATGAACACTGACGTGGAAGAAAGGTGAGGAATGACCCCCAGCATATTTAAGAAGAGCATGTGGGGACGGCGTCGCTGGAGAGCCACTGGAATTTATATGTTGTTGATAGCGCTGAGAACTAAGGGCTTAGAGCTACGCTTACTAGGTTTGACGGCAAGCCATACAGATTTAAGACATAGTTGCTGAACGTCAGAGCTAAAATATCTGTGGATGGCGAGGCAATTAGGAATGCCACAGCTTAGTTCCACTTCATATGAGGCAACTAAGAGCCTACCTTACAGCTACCGTACTACTGCTGCTGCTACACGCGGAAGAACGAGGTGAATAAGACTACGAGACGATCGTATAGGAGCTAAAATGAGGATACAGCAACCCTAACGAGACTGGTAAGGTCTAGCAGGCTCTGCATAAGCTCCTAGTAGTTTTTATACGGGCTACAGCTATACAGTCGTAAAGCAGCCAGTAGTCTAACGACCAGAGCTAAAGCCAGACTACTATTGGCCCGACACTGAGAAAGGAGAATATTAGGCTTTAAAGGGGCTGGGTACAATTGCTATAGCTAATTCCCCGAGAGAGGCGTGCCACAACCTCCCATGGTGTTTAATAGAACGTAGTACTGTTCCTACTGTTACTGATAGTAACAATCTCTTAGCAGTTAGAACAAAAGTGAATTGCCTGCCGTTACTGTACAGTTAATGAGGCTATAGTTACTGCAGTAACTGCCTATACTGATTGATTTCTTAGTGTTTTGGTAACGCGTTCGCGGAGGACGTTTTCGCGCGTAGTAGTACGAGGGCTGCTGTGGAACAGGAGGTGTCAAAACGCGCACTAATACACCAGATTTCGTACCTTTTCAACCATCCTATCCATCGTCAGTACAGAATAGTGAATTAACTCCTTGATTTACCTACTTCTCGCCTCCAATATTGCCTCCATCGTCACCATAAGTATGCGAAAATTCCTCCAAACTCCACGTAGCACTCAAAGGTCGCAGCACCAGTTTAACGTTGCTCATTTAAGTACTCTAAAGCCTCACTTTACAAGCTCTTGTCGCCTTAAGAAGTTAAGGGCTGTCTCTTAGAGCTCTTAGAGCTCCATAATTAAGGCCTCATCCTCTAGTGTTTCTTCACCTGCGCTTCAACTAGCTAATCCCTATTCTCACAAGTTTCCTGAGGACTCTCGCCTTAACAACAGCCTAAATTTCAACATTAAGTGGGACAATATCTGGACTAGAGGTCGCCAGCTGAAGCCTAGGGGCCTTAGATATCACGTGAAGAGCTTAAGGGAGCTTTCTAGGAGGACTCAAACGTCTCATATATAGAAATACGGCGCGGATCTAGTGTACGTTGACGAGGAAGGCAAGCGCTTAAAGATCTGGCTCTGCAAGTTTTGCCATCAGCTAGGTACAAAGGATTGTGCGAAGACTGTCGATTCTACAGCCCATATTACTGCCCACCTCTGGAAGAAGCACAAAGTCGACGCCTTCAAGGGCAACTATCTCCCAGATAGCCCATCGCTCTATCGAGACCCGTTTGAACTAGCGAAGATTGCTGGAAGTGGTGCTGGAAGCTCTCACACGCCGTGGCAGGAGGAAGGATTGCTGAGGGCTCTCGTTGATTTCACGATAGTTGGAGATGTCTCGTTTCGCCAAGCCACATCGTCAGAGTTTCGGGGCCTTATCACCTGGAATCGACTCAATCTTCTGGCTGCTCTACCATCTGCCCCCGCCACACTGTCAACTTATATCCGGGATGCATTAGAGGCTCAGAAGGAGGAGATTCAATTAATACTAAATTTAAGTAAGAGTAAAATTGCGTTAAGCGCGGACGTGTGGGAATCTCCAAACTATCACTCCTTCCTAGCAGTAGTTACTCACTTTGTTGGTAAGCGAGATAGTCCGTGCGCTATTGTCAACCTCAAATCTGACTTCTATCTAGATGCCGATAACAAGGCTCGAGAAGTCCTCATTGGCTTTAAAAATCTACTTGGAGACCACTCTGGATCGAACCTCGCCCGCGCAGCTATTGTAGTTATTAATAAGTACAGCATTGCGTTAAAATTCAGCTGCTTTGTAGGGGATAATGCCTCTAACAACGATAGAACCTTCATCCGTGCCCTTAACAAGCACCCTAAGCTCTCTGTAAGCAATACACACCAAATACGCTGCGCAGGGCATATAATTAACCTGATAGCTAAGTCTATCATCTATAGTAAAGGTTTAAGCATATAGGAAGAAGAGCTTTCTCACTGTGCTCCTCGCGATTAGTTTAAGCTATATCAGAGGCGTGGAGCAATTGGCAAACTTCATAACTTCGTGAACGCAATTATAGCCTCACATAAGCAGAGAGAGCTCTTCGCCACTATCCAGCGTCAAGTCCTCAAAGAGGACTCTCTCTGGACGTTTAGCACGCTCAAACTAGTGCAGGACGGCGGGATTAGATGGAATTCCACCTACCTGATGCTCCTCCGCTGTTTAGATCTCAAAGAGGCTATCTCAAAGTTTACATACCAATAGAGGGCTGCCAACAAGCGTGAGATTAATAAGCGCAATGGTTTTAGCCCTCTAGCTAACACCCTTACTAACAAGGATTAGGATAAGGCTAAGCAGCTTGTAAACTTCCTTAAGCCTCTCTATTAGATAACCAAACGCCTTGAAGGAGATCTAGGTATAAGCGGATATAGATCTCTCTGGCAGACTCTCGTAGATCTCCAACACCTCTAGATTTGCTTTTATAAGGCCCAGAAAATAGCACAGTCCTCCTACTTTAAGGAGCTCTGTAAACGCGGCATCAGCAAGCTGACGACGTACTTTATAACTCTTGTAATAGATCCTCCTATCTCGTACTACTGCGTTGCGACTTTTTTAAACCCATCTCTACGCCTTATCTGGTTCCAAGACAAGTAGGCGTCGTTTACAACCTAGTAGAAGAAGGCTGAGAAGAGCGTGAGAGAGATCTACGCACAATACAAGGCTCAAGAGCAGGAGCAAGAGATAGAGATACCCGCTAAAAGTCGACAACGTAAAACACTAGGTGGCAAGTACCACAACAAGCAGTTTGCGGAGACTCTGCGCGTTAATCTCCACCTCCTCACTGGATCCTCGAGCGCCAAGAAGGCACGCATGGCAAACGAGCTGCAGCAGTACATCGATACTGCTCAATCCGATCTCCTAGTTGCAGCCGAAGACGATATAATCTATGGAGATCCGCTCACTTGGTGGCATCAAATTGGGCGTAAGCACTATCCGACGCTGTACAAGATAGCCCTTGATTTTCTATCTATCCCTGCGACAAGCTGTGAGTGCGAGAGGTGCTTTAGCAAAGCTAGAAGAACCATTACGATCGATCGGAACCAGCTATCGCCTTCCACGATCGAGGCTCTGCAGCTACAACGTAACTGGATTGCCAGAGGACTCGTTCACTCGGAGTTGAACAATCTCCGCGACTATATTGGGAAGATTGTGTCAAAATCAAGCCCTCTAGAGCCTCCAGAAACACCAGTTACTGCAGTAACTGCACCAAACAGTAGCTTCACTATCAATTAACTTAGCAGTAACTGTTACTGCTAGTAAGGCCGTTTTAATTCACTCTTTCCGTAAGAACGAAACCCTATTACCGTCAGTAACGCCTAAAAAACACTACTGACAGTAACAGTTACGTTCTAATAAACACCATGCAACCTCCCACCAATTGTATCAACGCGCCTATGCTGATCTTATCCCTTCCGGTATCATCCTTACCTCAGCCACACAGTCGCAGCCACTAGCTGAGGATGACTTTAGTCCTTGCTCTAATAGCTCTTAAGACACCTCGGTCTCTTTTCCTACCAGGGTAATTTAGGACAGAAATATGTACCCTATTCACTTCTACTTATTTCTAGCAAGGGGTTTTACCGGAAAGTATACTCGAACTGTGGTCTACTTTTTGTGAAAGCGTACTGAAGAGGGCTGCGAACGAAAACAACTCCCTTGGCAAGCTGCGCATTTGTACTTACTATCCCACCTTAATCCCCACCTACCTTCAAAACAATCTTCCCTCTTACCCTCTTCGTATTGATCAGATCCAACGCCTATTGCCTGTAAGCATCCCTCTTGCTAGATTGACCACGATACTCACGTCAAGAACATCCTCCCATGCAAACACCTTCTCAACATTCACCTTCATCTTCCCTTCTTTCACAAACCCCACCAACCTCTCCAAACTCGCATGATCTGGATACCCACTAAAAAACACGTACTTCCTCGGTGTTCCTCCAAACCACGCCGGCCAAAACATGTTGACAAATATGTACCACAACGTCCAATACGTGCCATGCATATAGTCTCCAATATTCAAGAATATGCTGCCCTCCTTCAAAAACCCCTTACTATTCCGATACAAATCCTGCGCACCAACCGTGTCAAGCACGAAATCAAACGGACGATCCCCAAATTCCTTCGCCAGATATTGATGCAGAGGAGCATTAGCGCGATAATCAATAACCCTACTCGCTCCCAAGCTCTTCGCCATCTCAACATTCGGCGCCGAGCACGTGCCCACAACTTCTTTAGCCCCAAGCGCAACAGCGGCTTGTACAAACATGGAGCCACAGCCTCCACTAGCGCCATTGACAAGAATCCGGTAGTCGTTGTGTTCGGGGACCTTACCGTATTTATGGATGAGGAAGGCCATTACTCCACCTGCGCCGATGACGGATGCTTCTGCCATTGTTAGGGCTCCTGGGACGACTGCGAGGGCGGAGGTTTTAGTGTCGAGGCATATGTATTCGCAGTAGGTTCCATAGCCTCTGAAATGGGATTCGCGGGGCAGCATGCCGAATGTTTTGATTCCTACTTGTAAGTCCTCCTGTGCGTCAGGACCGCGAGCGAGGACCGTGCCGGAAAATTCCGCCCCAGGCGTGGAATTCGCGCGCACGAAAATCGATGGGAAGAGGTTCATGAGCTTGGTGTCAGAAGGACTGACTCCAACATAGGCAACTTTGATGAGAACCTGACTCCCAGTAGGCGGCCTAGGAGTTGGAAGGTTGGTGAGCTGGAGTACCTTGCGATGGGGACCTGACTTGGAAAAGGTCCATGCTTTCATGGCTGGTGGGAGAGGAGCAGAAGCCATGTTTGCAGTCGGGAATGGAAGAATACTGGATGGCAGATAGAGATGTGCAAAGAAGAACGAGGACATCAAAAGAATGGGCGTATGTTAAAGGAAAATCATTGCCCTAGGCGCCTTTGTCGCGTGATGCTTTTTCCGAACGCTGCGGACGAGTATCGGACTAAGATGATAAAAATCGGACGAAAGAGCATGGTAACTTGGAAATAGCAAATATTTGAGAGAATGGATGAGAGATGTGTTAAAGATTCCAATGTTTGTATAATATGGAATCGTTCGGTTGGGAACAAAAGAGGAGACGTTGTGCCGCATGATGGAGCGGACCACCGAAGAAGCACTAGATGAAAGAAATCGTTCTAACTCTTGTGAGAATTAGAAATACTGGAAACACAGCAGTGTATCCATTTTGGAACATGCTCTTAAAATATCCCGTTGCATATGCTTCCATGTAGTTGTGGGTGCCATCTCGGAAAGCAAACCTTGCCCGGATGGGACATTTTACCCGAGTCACGTGGCCGGAAATACCAATCGTAACCTCCTCAACCTTGGTTATGTCTCCGATGAGTGTGCGCGATATTTTGAAAACTAAGGCTCATAGCTTGAAGCCCTTTCGGCCTGTACTTCCAGTTATAGCTCCGTCTACAACTAACTTTGTTCCAGTGATATATCGGGCGCTGTCCGAGCATAGATGTAGCCGCGTACGCGATGTGCGGTTTCCCAATGTATTTCAGACCCCCTGAAAACAGCATTAGCATGTCGGCGACTGGAAGCAAAATTCCCTTGAGAATTGAAAGGGAACGTACTTATCTATAATGGCGATTTTGATAACAACTATCGAGTGTTGTTATTTCATAACTGGTAAGAAAAGTGATAGCAAAGGTATACGCTCTTTAGATTGATATCTACTTGAGCATCCTATACTTGCTCACTCATGCTCACTGGGTCATCTTTCTCACTCCCCCACGATATTCACGAGGATATCGATTCCTCCAAATTTTCCAGATATATATCCACAAGTGTCTGGATATCTTTCGCTTTCGTGACGTCTGCTTGGACGACTTGAATAGAGGTCCTGGGAAATTTGAAAAGAAGGCATGACTTGGTGGTTTGAGCAGCAGGGATTTTACATTACAGCCGAAGATTTTCGTCCCGTTTCGGACGAAGGTGCGAGCAGTTGCTACACCATTTCCCCACATTGAGGAGTTGCCGGCCTGGCCAACGCCGGGGAGAACAACTTTGTTTTCGAGATCAGAGTAAGAGGTGTGGAGAGATATCATTTAAGTATTTTCGCTTGTAGACGATTTCGTTGCGTGCTAAGTGAGAGAAAGATGCGAGGAATAAACGTGGGGAGAGGGGAGCAGCGTGGAAATATTTCCGAGGTGTTCGGAACTGGCAAGAGGGGTGGAACCATCAATAAACTCCTCTGAACACAGACAGTCACTCTAGAGAAAGGCCTTACGTTGAAAGCCATTAAATGAGGAGTGTATCTTAGCACGGGGCCGTTTCCAAAGTCGAACCGGACTTACCAAATCATTCACGATGTGGTAAAGCGAAAGTATGCCGTTGGCGGCTATTGTGTGTGAGTCTCAAACGCTGGTGGTCAAGGGATGAGTGCTGATTTTTGAAGCTACAATACCGATGGGGTACTCGCAGTTATTCGCGCGGCTGAGCGTTGTGGCTGCCCGGGAATGATCCGAGTCTTTCCGTAGACCTTATATTTTCAAGGCCCACACTTCATCCAGTTTGTGACATTTGCAGCTCAGACCGCGAGGGTTCTGATATCCGTTCCCCTAGACTATCTCATGCCCAAGGACGCTGCCATGGCCCTCGAATGCGCCTTTAACTTGATTGTGATCGATGGCACTATGTTTGACGAAGAAGGGAATATCGATTATGTTACGAAGATCTTCGAGAAATTAGGGCAGAAAGGAATCACCACTGAAGCTGAGCCGGTCGTATGGAAGGCAGCGAAGACAGCCTACCCAAAATTAAAGGAAGTTTGTTGACGGATCAGGAACTAGCCAAACCTTTCGCTGAGAAGTCCAGAGTGCGTTTTTTTTGCTCCTAGCTTTGGTAATGTGCATAGCCCATACCCGGCCGACGGCGCGGAGAAGTGGTGGAAGGTTCATCGGTAAGGGTTGTACATTAATCCGTAGAAGAGAAAAGGTCAAGAAACGTGACGTTAATTTGACACAGATTCTGGCCAATGTACAAAGCGCTGGGAACAGCTACATCTTTGGTGCTTCATCGTCTCACGCATCCTCGGGCAACATGCTGCGAGTCGGTGTAATCAACGGCATGAGAAAAGAGAATCAAAATTGGACGGTACGGACAAGATACCTCAAATTTCTTGCCAAGGAGCCAGGAAACCTCGAATTTACGCAGTTGCAGGAGAAAAGCGTGCAAATTTACTCCAAGGAGATTGAGCAGATAATGAAGATTTCAGGTCCCGCTGATAAGGCCTGTTTGGCCATCCAAGCAAGTGATGATGAAATTGACTCTCGCGGTATCCTTGGTCTCTCATTTGAGAAGCCTGAAGCCTGAAGCCTGTTGTTGTGCCTCGGAATAATGGACGCAAATCCAAAATCGATTGGAGCAGAGGTTGGGTCCACGGCTGAAAGTGACCGGGGCCTCCACATGGTTGAAACAAGGCGATCCGCACCAGCCAGATCGATTTCATAATGAACGATAGCAGCCTCGGATGTTGAATTCAGGTCAGAGTTTTAATTGGTCGCGAACATGCCAAAGTCATGGGGTGAGGTGACGCTATTTCGTGTCGTGGCACTAATCATGGGTGAAACAAGCCATTGCTCGCCTCGGGATCTCCCACCCGCATCAGCCTTACCCACCCATCGATCACCCATGAAATCAATCGAATCTTTGCTTTTTGGAGAGTGGAAGGATTAACCTGACTCCTTTAGCCATGATTCCTGTCTATCAATTTATTCGAGTGTCATTTTGCCTCAGCACATGGCTCAGGGGGGTAAACAGAAACAATGCATCAGGCATCATCAAAATCAGTTAAAGAAACGATCGAAATAAACTTTACGTTCCACGGCAAGGCCCTCCAAAGAATCTCCACCGCGTTTCTCTCCACCACATCGTTTCAATAACGACACTGTGGCGTTCCTCGGTAAAAGGCTGTGGAGATTCGATGCTGAAGTTGGCCGTAGGTTTCTACCAGAGTATAAAAGCGCCCAAGGCAATAACGGTTATTTTCTACTTCAACACCGCTTCATCACTTTCACTCTTTTGCTGCAAAGGTCAGAGGTTCTCTGTGCTGAGCACTTACATTCTTTTCAGTCCTTTCGCTCTTTAAGCCAATTGTCATTTTCAAGATGAAGCACGCAGAAGCGTACGTTCTAGCATTGGTCGGGTTGAGCAACGCTGCTCCGATGCCTCAATTTTCTCTTCCTTCTGGCGTCAGCATTCCAGGGTTCAGCTTGCCAGCAGGCTTCAGCCTCCCATCTGGAGGCCTTCCTAAACCTACAAGAAGACCCGGCTTCAGCATCCCATCTGGTGGGGGATTTTCAGGGGGGCTTAGCATTTCAAGTGCTCCTGCACTGGCCAGCACTGCAGAGCCGACTGGAACTCTCCCCGCATCCGTTGTTGCCACACCTACTTCTAGGGCAACTCAAGCGACATCAACTACTTTAGCTGACGGAGGTACTGTAGGCTCAAACTGCACACCTCAGGGAAGTGGTGGAGGAAACACCGAGAATGGTGTTGCAGACAAGAACTGCTGCACCGATTTGACTATCGTATTTGCGCGTGGAACTTCCGAGGCAGGGAACGTTGGAACAGTCGCTGGCCCTCCGATGTTCAAGTCCCTGAGATCCAAGCTAGGTGCCAATAGAGTCACGATTCAGGGCGTAAACTACCCAGCTGATGCTGCTGTAAGTATATTCATCCCCGAAATTGCGGTGAGCTAATAATTTTGAAATAGGGAAACATCAATCAAGGAGCGTCGGGAGGCCCTGCAATGGCTTCGTCGGTCAAGGCGGCTCTCTCCCAGTGTCCAAACACCAAAGTTGTGGTTTCGGGATACAGTCAGGGCGGAATGGTTGTCCACAATGCCTTCTCAGCGCAAGGCTTGACCTCGACCCAGGTGACAGCTGCGGTTCTGTTCGGGGATCCAATGCTAAGACTTGGGAGAGTCGGTGATCTGAGTAGTACTAAGGTGAAGGAATTCTGTGCATCTGGCGACGCTGTTTGTGAGAATGGCACTGGCACTATAACTTCGGCGCATCTGTCGTATGGTAAGAACGCCGACGAGGCTGCCGACTTCATCATCAATGCCGCTGGGCTCTCTTGAGAAATGAGGCGGAGGCTAACGTTGATGATGCGGGATGAGAAGCTCGACCCTGCTAGGTCGGGGTCATTCGATTCTACATTTAACATTTGAAATAGTGGGGTCGCACAGTAGAGAAATGAATAATTCAATCAGGATTTGATGAACTGGACGCGATGAGGGCTAACGAAAGTTACGCGCTAAGCACAGACCACTAAAACTGATCTGCGCCAGCCACCCCACAGCCTCGCCCTCGTGCCCCATTCCCCTTGCAACATCATGTTATCATGCCCTGTACCACGTCCAAGTGCCACGGAAGATATCATCCCAAGTCACGTCACGAGCTGACTATGATGACCAAAGTCCAAGCAAGGCACACAAGGCAGAGCCATGCAGAGGCTCCACGACACAGCGACATTTCCTGCCCCTAGTAGCTGGGCATTTATATGAAGAGAAACTTTACCTGAGCTTTTTCATCAACACCAAGCTAAATTCTCCCTCTCTACACCTCCACTATTTCCTAGATATAATGTCCGCCGCATCCAGCTCGGCAGCGAAATCAAAGTCTGCCTTCAAACCCTCCGAGGAACCACACTGCTTCACCGACACCTCCGGCATCATCACCACGACCATGATTGATTTACCTGGATTCCGTGTAGTTAGGGTTCTCGGCACCGTTTACGGTCTCTCTGTCCGCTCACGCAACATCGGCGCCGCTGTTACCAGCGTATTGAAGTCGACTGTTGGCGGGGAATTAAAGGTCAATGACCCTGGATGTAGGAGGGAATGGAATGCTAATAGCTCTAGTACCTGACTAATTTGCTCTATACTGCCCGAGACCATGCTGTTGAGAGGATGGTTGGGGAATGCATTACTCGCGGGGGAAATGCCATCATTGCGACGAAGTTCGACACGAGCCAGATCATGGGGGATTTTGCGCAGGTCTGTGCGTATGGAACAGCTTGTGTGGTGGAGAAGATTGAAACAAAGGAAGATAAGATGTGACGAGAAGCTGAGATGGATCCCTTTGGAAGGCGGCTTTCTTTTAACGTTGTCTCATTATAGTACCTTTAAATTTTGGTGAGTGTATGCAAGTTGTAACCTCAACCCAATGCTCATCCATATAATCTGGCAGACATTACCTAGTTAAATCCAAATCATTGTTAATTCTATCCCTCGCTCATAGCAATCGCCAGCCTATCCAGTAACCCTTATCCGTATTAAAGCCAATCGCTCGGTAGCTTGACGATACCATTCTAAAAGCAACCGACTTACACCTAAGCGCGCCATCTACCAGCATGACCCTGACCGGCGGGGACTTTAGGACGCTCACCTTATATGACTCGAGGCTTACGTATATTGTTATCAGGGTCCTGAATGGGGTAACAAGAACACTTTCCATCACCTACCCAAAAAGGAACACCTCAACATTCCAAGGTGACAGCCGCAACAAGACTAGCAGTTCTCTTTATCTACGGTTCATGACATACTCCAGCTCACTTTGACTTGTTCGCTCAGTCCTCGATATAGCAGATTATTCCACCTCATGTTCGCTTCAACCCAGCGTAGGCAAGCTGCCGCCGATAGGCTTGATGGAGGTTGCAACAGTGCATCGATGATGAGCTAGGTCGATTCATCGATGATAAAGAAAGGGATGTCATTGTGCTTGTGTATTCCTCTGGAGAATTGTTTCAACACAAGCGCTAGGATAGTGGCTCAGGAGGAGAAATAGAACAGAAGAAGGGAAGAGAGAAAGGTGTTGAAGTTGATATATTTGTGTGCCTTCTTTCTCACACTAGGCGATTGCCTCGAAAGTGCATTAGGCGGAGCTCTACAGTCTTTCATTCACGTGGATGTAGCGAAATCCATCAAAATTCGCCATCTGCCTACTAATGCCCGAAAGGGAGATAGAATGTGCGTAATACCTAACTCGGACCACCGCTTCTATCACAATCTCACTACTCCTGACCAGATTAAATGGGCAGACGAGTTTATTAAATGTCCACGATCGCCTAACAGACTCCCATCATTCGCGCCGTTTACCTTTACCATCCAATCACATACACTTTTTTGCGAGGATGACTTCGCGCTTCTGTATGAGGTCCAATGAATGATGGTTTAAGTGGTGAAGGATACTGAGGTGGGAATTACGACCGAGGCTTGCCTAGCTGGGCATGGCCTTTTCCTGAGCATGCGGGACAGTTCTTACCTTAGTAGAGCGATCCTTGTGATTTATGAAAGCATGCTTCTACGTACAAAAGGCAGAGGAGATGAAACTAAGTTCGATTTATTTGTTGTACCGTAGTCGACGATAAGGTCTTGGTACTACCATCTCTAATGAATTGAATGGGAATAATTGGCTGGCTATGCAGAAAACAGGACCGTAATATAATAGAGAGCGGACAATCTAACACTAGTGAGAGTATAAGAAATGCTCATATTTTTATGGGAGGAATGGATGGAACAGACAGAGTTCCATTGTTGGACTGGAGAATAAGCGAGCTAGACACGTTCACGTTCAAGCCGCACCGGTTCATATGTGGTATCCGAGCCCGTAAGCAGTGTATTGTTCCAGTCAGATTTATTTCCAGGGCGTACTTGTAGAAGACCGGGTCCACATCAGTCTTCTGGACAGAAAGGCTTCCTCAAAATCGATCTCCAAGATGGTAGCTCTATCAGGATACCCGAATTGCTTTTCCGTATTTTTCGATCTACCAATTGACCGTCTCTTCCTGCCGAACGTCGAGTAGGGCGACGACGAATCGATCCATTTTGTGAATATAATCGCAGCGCAACAAAAGTATCTTTCTGCGAACCCTACACTAACATCCAAAGAGTGCAGATATTTTTCTGTCGCTAAGCCTAGTAGCTGCCCCCGGCGAAGACAGCGTACACCCTGTCGTCATCGAAGCCACTCTTAGAAAGTGTGGCCATAGTAACTTAGCTTTGGGGAAAGTCGCGGTTAGGGGAGAAAGAAGAGAGCGATACTCAATTTCTTGAGGCGTGGCATCAGTGTTGTTGAGAGTGTGAATGCGAAGAGAAACGTTGAAACTTTTGCAGCTGAACACAGCGAGCCTGCCACCTACCTTCTTCTGCAAACGAACTTCGAGGTGCCCATAGGGTTAAAAATCGAGGAAGTGGCTTCTCTTGGTTGGAAGAGGCATTGGCCCTCGGTAAAGCCACCTTAACTAATATACGCCTTTGTGCCCCCTTCAACTTAGGTAACTAGGTACCTATTGTTCATACCTAATAGTTACCACTTTAAGCCGTAAAAGTGACCGTATCCGAACGCGAAGACTAACCACTACCCTTCAACGAGCTCAGGCTAGAGATGGGGTCTAACGAGTAGCCAAAACCAAACAGTGTCCCTTCTCTTTAAGAGGAAGCTTGACGTTACAGACAAGTTCTTGCAGGAGCACTGATGAACTGACCATGCCGACTAGTCATATCTCTGAAGGATGTTGGAGTCAACTTGGTGTGATGCGTTTAGGTGTCCTCCAACAACGCGTTGTTTCATGAGATTTCCGTTGATCTGCAGCCAAATTTCCACCAAGTACTCGTCAAAGCAGAGCTCGCCCCACTCTTAGCTTCTGGCCAATTGAAGATCCGCTACCACGCATCCACCGAATTCCAAGCCAAGATATGGACCACATAGTCAAGTTCCTCACCGCTGTCAACACTTTCACGATTACTAATCGTATGAGAAAGATGACATGATAGCATTTTCATATTTGCTAACCTGTCGGTTTACAGGTAACATCGCGAAATCCATGGGTACGGGGTTCCACATGCAAACTATGGCCAGATACGGTTATTTGATATTTGGGAGTGGGATGAGGACTACTGGAAGCACGGATGGTATTCTTCCTCGAAAACCCCTCTCTCCACTATTCCGTGAAGCCAGGGGGGACACGATAAGGACAGGGATCATAAAGAAAGGGCATGATAAAAGAAACTCAAAGAATGAGAGCCTTGACGAAGGAAGGATGCTGCAGCACACCAAAGTTCGGTATTATACTCGAAGAGCTTGTCCTCCCATTTCAACCTTAAAATGCAAGTTTGTTTCCAGCTTGAATGAGCAGCCTGAACAGAACGCCAGTCGAGATTGCCCAAGTAGCTGACCGGAGCATGGAAAGCTTCTGATTCGCGACATTGATATAAATTGCAATATATGCAACCCTCAGTCCCAAATAAGCCCCAGCCGCGGTATTGAGCGTGCCTATAATTGCGGGTTAGATTGCTTTCTTGGGTGTTCATAGTGGGGGGCAGTGTATCTCACTCTTGGGAAGCCCTGCAATGTTACCCGCGAGGATGGCTCCGATGAAGAGGGGGGCGCTCTCTAGCATGTTCTTATGTGCAGCCTCTGCCCTCTCAAATTTGCACCATATCTGATTCGGAACGGCTTTCTGGTACTTGGCGTTTGCGTCTGCCCCCCTAGGGTTGGCATTGTCCCATTTTTTGTTGTTTGCACCCTTCATCAGTTGCACCTGCATACAAAATTAAACTTGCGTTATAAATAGAAGGGAAGTGGACGGTAGACATACGGCGAAAGCGTGAGGCACCAAAGCCAGAAACCAATACACGGGAATACTATAGATGGAGTAGTTGGCATCCATAGTGGCGGCGAATGTTCTGAGCCGATGAAGGATGGGAGGAAATATCGAGCATTTAAGTGTAAGTCATTGGGGGGGCCTGGTCCAGGTACGCGAAGCCCGAACACAGTGTTACAGAAGACATTCCAAAAGAGGACTGGCCTCTTGGCACAAAGAACTTGAACGAGAGCATCCGCACCAATCGGAGTTGATCACTAATCCAAATGCCAATCTCCAAACCCTCCCGCTCTCTCCCAACCACATTCATTTTCCATCGCAAGCCCTTCTTCTCTGGGTTATTTCGGCGACTTCACGGGTGAGCTGTGCGTGACGCGTATTGTGCCTGCCTTCGCACTTGGTGGCTCTAGACACGGTGTCACGTTCCCTAACCACAAAGGCGGCAGGTAAAAACGAACTACTGAGTTGATTGATTGGTAGACGCAACACGAGCAAAGAAGTGCAGCATTTTCGGGATCTAGACCCGAGATATGGCATTGCATGAGCTGTAGCTGACACTCAATCGGCCCAACTCTTGTCCTCTAGTATCTTTTCAGACCTCATCCCGGAAGATTTCATCCGACCCCCCCCATTCCTCAGTGTCTTGTTATCGAACATTGCACTTTCGGGTGGCACAGTAAACGTCCGTCTTCATTCACGCTTACGACACGTCCTAGAATCCTTTGCCAGCGGCCTTAACTTGGCGGATGTCTAGTACTTGAATGACCGAACCGTCCGGTATGTTCTGGCCAAAGACGTTGTTTGCTGAAACATGGAAAGAAGATGATATTACCATAATACTTGTGTGGAGGATAAAATAGCTTGGCAATAGCTGCTCAGAAGATCGGATAAAGTGACTCTGCTATCTAAGAGAGTTGAAGGCTCTCTTTATATACACCGAGCTTCGGAACATACTATCTCCAGATCCTGGGCCGCGGACCAGGCTCCGAGCCCCAGCCAAGGCTCTCAGTATACGCGACAACTTGTGTAGCTAAATCTATTTCCCTGGATCATTGACTAGCTCGGCTTAGGGTAACCTAAAGTGTGACGATAGTTGCACTATTCGTATAGAATAAAAATTGATTCGTTTTCAGGTCTCGCAGAGAAAGGATTAGGCTAATTTTAACGCTGACTGCACTACAAACAATTTCGTGTATGCGACCTTAGTACCACGCGAAAATACAGACGACCGCCCAAGTTACGAAAGGATAATAAGGTCTCCGCCTAAAAAAAATTTAAGAGCCTCTGCTGGCAAATCTTAATTCAGATACCTTCGATCCTCGAGCTATTGAGCTCTAGACTAGAAACGCGTTCTTCTGGTCACTGTGCGAACCACTTTCGAAATCGTTATTCTCTTATCAAATGTCACCATTATAGGATTCAGCATCTCCTGCAGCTTCCAGTGTCGCCAGGCTCTTGCATTCTTATAGCCAGCCTAAATACCGCGCCAGGAAGGGGGTCTCATTACACTTTTAAGATACTAATACTTGTGGTCTTATAGTAATATAATTACTCCAATGTACTGCTTGCCATCGCTCTTAACCGGTAAACGCAAGCGTCGAAATTTTGCCACGTATTACCAGCGTGGCAATACCCGCGCGTAGCACCAGTGTAGCTGCTATCATGTTGGCCTCTTGGAGCACTGCCAAATTCTCAGATATGCCGTCGCGTCGAGGCAGCTGCAGAGTGAAAGCTGATGTAGTGTGATCCCTAGGGGAAAATGGAGACTATTTGAATATTCAAAACTTTCGAAGGACCCCCATAGATCAGTTCATTCCTGGTTTGCTACCAACCCTCTTCAATCGACAGTTCCTTGTTTAGACTAGGTGTTAAGATGTGTCATGTATGATTCCAGCGTTGTTTTCTAAAAGCTGGCAGCTTACCGAGAGATCAGAAGCGTAGTATATCCCATCCCTACTACTCCAGTGTCTTGTATTGCCGAAAGTTAATTTCCAACGGACAAAGAGCGATGTTCGTATCTGGCCCTAAGAAACATCAGGGCAAATATTTATGGATAGCCTTGACTTGAGAATCGGGAGCTACAAAAATAAGACGTTTATAGCCGTTGTGCTAGCGTACTAAAGGTTCATGAGCTTTTATAAATACCGGTGTGATTAGGGGGAAATTTTTACTTAGAAGTCATGAATTCTAGATCAAGATGGTAACCGATGTATGTGTTCCTTAGTTCATAGGATACCACTTATCGTGGTGAACAAGGGACAAATGAATCCAATAAGTTAGGGGCAAGAATGAAGTCCAGAGAAAGCCGCCATTCGGTGCTACAAACTTCAGAAGAGATTGTTAGGTCGAATTTGGTGAAGCAATTCTTCAAAGCAACTAGTTACCGTGTTTCTTGGCTGAATAGGAATTTCCTCCATTCAAGCCTCTCTTTCTGATCATATGTTTCGCATGTAGCAAACCACAACGTTCCGGTGGATTGTCTTTCACACAAATATCACTTATTTTGGCTAAGCAAACCGCGGCCACCCGAACCTGCATGATATTGTCTCGTTTCCTATGAAGTTTGGAAGTCTAAGTTCTGTTTTCACTATACTCTGAATGGCCGCCTTTCACCACCATATCCCAGGGACTACATCGCCTACTTTAGTCCAACTGCCGCCTCATTTTGACTGCACAGGCTCAAACGCCACCGCACCAAGAGCGACTGTTTGGACGAATTTGGATTTGGGCTTCGCGCTGATGTTCTCACAGCCAAAACACTTGGTCCAAGGACAGACTACGCAACCAGAAGTGACAGAATTCCCAATCAACCATGGAAGAATTCAATTTAATTCCACCAAACCTGACCCCAGCTTTCGTTAACTCAAACGCGCAACTCAAGAGATTGCAAAATGACCTCCTCATCCTCACCAGCTTCCCCGACAACAGCACTCTCCGCTGGCGCCCATCTTGGTTCCTACAAGACGACTTCGCACAGAAGTATTGGACTATTCACAACCCTCCAAATGTCGTCACCGAGTACCTTCCTCATGATAAATTACGCCAGGCAGTCATGACGCGCCGCATGAGGCGGGACGACGACCCACCGCCGCGATTCATCAAGAACCTGGAGCACTGGAAGCGATATTGCGAGATGTACGGGATCCCAGAGGACTTCTTGTGTGAGGCACAAATACAGCTGATGAGACTGGGATTGCCAACCAATAAGAATGGGTCCCTTGATTGTATGTTTCCCCCTTCACCAGCTGCCCTAATCCTGGAATCTAACGGACACTTTAGCACCACCGTCCTGGCCCCTCTATCCAGAACCACAACCCCTCGGTCAAGGACGCTATCTACTTGATCCTACCAGTCACGAAAACCTCCCGCGCAAATTCGAAAAGATCGATGATGAGCAAACGATCGTCGTGCACTCGTCTGGCGCGCTGGAGGTCGCGAAAACTTTCCCATTCCACTTTCGTTCAAGCCCGTGCGCCCATTTTAATGGCAAAGGAGATTTTATCAATAACTGGTGGTATGAGCCCGTCCAAAATCCCAAGTTCCAGGGAAAGGGGAGGAAGTGGGCGTATCTTCCGTGGACGGAGACGATGGAAGAGACCTGTCGGCCTTTCAAGATCAAATTGAGAAAGGTAGGGGAAGATGTGGAGGTGAGAGGGGACGTAGGCGGAGAGTTGTAGGATGGCTGAGGAGGGATTGGTTCAGGTTAGGGATAGGAGGGCTAGTGTAAATAAGGGAATAGTCATAGGGGACAGTGTGGAAGCATAAGAGCTCTCTACGAGGCCCCAGGGGCTGCTAAAAGCTTGACTCTAGAGGCATATGTTCCAAGCCGACCTACAATGATCAGTCTCTCTATTGAAATTACTGTTAAAAGCCAGAACCCGCACTCCTCCAACCACAATAAAATAGTGCCGAAGCAACAAAACTAGTCACCGAAGAAGATTATCCCGAATATAACCTTCCACATCAATTTCTACCTTATACTATCTTCAGGTCAACGAGGCTCACATATCAGAATAGCTAACGGAAGTATTGCCAAGCATTACCCCGGCACACTTCCCACCCCTTGTTCAGCGCTTCTACCACGTCTTCCGGTAATGGACCTAGCTCAAAGTCTTTCAGATTCTGGCTGAGTTGCTCCTCACTGCTTGCGCCAATAATGACCTTATCCCCAAGCTCTCTCTTCAGTTGCGAATGATGCATCATCCACCTCAGCGCACACTCGCTCTCTCTCAGGCCATGCATCGCCGCAGCGGGCCTCAAAATCTCCAACGCGTCAAAGAACTCGTTATGCCAATACCTAGCCCTGTACATCTGGCCCTGTATATGCTTCGGATCGAAACGACTTCCCTTCTCGATCTCGGAATCCTGTATATCGCGATGGTAGCGGTTTGTCAGGTATCCGCCAGCCAGGGGATTATAAGCGTAGAACTGTATTCCGTATTTGCGAAGGCAAGGGAAGAGCTCATGCTCTACGGTTCGGTGAAGAGCGTTATATACACCCTGATAGGCGGATGGTTTAGGATATCCCTCTTTCTCGCAGATCTCACAGATGGCCGCAACTTCCCATGACATGAAGTTACTAAGTCCCCATCTGTTAAACTTCCCTTCCTTATGTAACTCGTTCACAGACTTTAGGGTGTCTTCAATTTTCACAGTCCTGTCTGGGGAATGTAGATACCATAGGTCCACACTGTTGGTCTTGAGCGCTTTGAGCGACTCTTCAAGGGCTTGACGCATATCTGCAACCACGAGCTGGGTTTTACGACGTCCCCACATCCCCTGTGTGTTGGGGAAGAACTTCGTGTCCACGACTAGACCACGTTTCTTCCACCCCATTGCGGCAATATATTCCTCACTGCTACCATCTCCGTAGAAGCGAGAGGTGTCGATCTCAGAATGGCCATGTTGTTGGAAAGTGTCGACGATGGCATTGGCGATGTTGAGGTCGGAGACGCGGACTTGTTCAATGCCTGAGGTGGTTAGAATAGTATGGTAGCTGACGGAGAGGAAACTCATGCCTTCTTTTCCAATGGTCATCGCCCCAAAGGCGATCTCAATTGCAGTGGTTGGCGCCGTCTTTTTGCCCTGAAACTCCATACTGGATCTTCTAAGATGTCTTCAAGAATTTTTGATCTCAATGCTTAGTTCTTGTTTCGGTACGGCCTGAACACGAGCTACCCCCTCCCTTTAAGTAAATCCCCACCTCTGCGCCATCGGCCATTAATCACAATATCGGCGTTTAGAGGAGTTTAAGATGACGACGGCGTTACCCGGAGATACACTTGAAGAAATTGAAACCGGTTAGATGAGTAAATACGAGATTTCGGATACCCTTGATCTGATGATCTTCCAAAAGTGTGGCCCGGATGCGAGGTGTTGGGGTTGCGGGAGCGTGAACGGAATCTTAGCATCGAAGTAGATACCCGATGCGGTTTAGTGTCCATCCTCAGATGCTGCATGTGCTGTGACATCGGAAGGAAGTATTCTATACATTTTCTAGCGATAGGAGAATTGTGGCACACTGGATGTCCTCACGTTTTTCATCTCCGACAGCTAGCAACCACATTCTCAGATCCAAATGAGTAGCATGCAGAGCGCTATTGTAATGCATATAAATTTTTTTCTATGCTCACACCACCCCCTACTTCGGAAATACAATCTTCAACTCTTGATTCCATTCTCTTTTCTCCATGTTAACCTCTCCTGCTCCACAACACCCGGCCCCTTGTACACACTTCCGTAAAGTCCACTTGCCCAATCGTTCCCCTCCCCCTCCTTCGCCGCCTTCCTTCTATACCACTTTCCGTACACCAACAAGTAGTATAGTCGAAAACTCAATAGAGCAAACCTATCCCTCTCAAGGTCTTCAGGGTATGTAGCTCCCAAATCCACAGCTGCGGCGATACCAGAAATGACTGCGGTTTCATGTGCATTGACAAGGGTCCAAGCTGCCGCGAATCTAGTATGTTTTCTTCCTTGGAGGAGCCAAATACCGGGCACTACGAATGCGTAATGAGTCCATGAGTGACATAGTTGGTGCCACCAATCTTTCCTGATAATTTTATTCTCATCAATCTCGTCGATGCTCCAGAGGTGTCCATCGCGTTGCTTGTTCAGGAAGATAGTCTGGAAGACATGTTTATCGAAGGGAACTTCCGGTGGAAACTGGCTTTGATAATTTGTGCAATCGAAGCACATTTCAAGCTTGGTACGATCTTGCGGATAAGTCTTGATCATGTACATGGGCTTGAAGAATTTTTCGGCCATCTGAGTTCGATTGGTTTGGTCGACACCAGAGAGTGTGTTCACAGCTTGGTCGGAATTGTAGAAGTTCTCGTAATTCTTCTTCATATAGTTGCTGTCCCAGTGGGTTACCGTGATATCGTCCGCGAATTTAGCGGAACCAAGGACGCGCCTTTCGAAGAAGCTCGACGTTGTCTGGAGAATGCGCTTTGCGGTGTCTGCGCTGGAAGCTGTCAATGCCACTGTTGTAACACTCCACATGAATGAGACGACTCACAGTACGCATAAAACCAGCTCATCGTAGTGCTCTTCCACCTCTTGGGCACCAGCATCTGCATTACTTTTGGTGTTGTGAGGCACCCATGCGCTATTAGGATTGTGCCCATCAGCCGCAGGGGTACGCTTTATAAGTCGAACAGTCACACCGCTGTTATCCCTCTTCACGACCTTCGTTAGCTCCGTTGACAAACGGACATTGACGCCGTTTGATACCAAACTCGTCTTCCAATGTTCATAAAACGCCCCGAACTTAGGAAAGACAACCATAGGCGGTAAGTTGCTTGCAACACTAAGATTATCCATGGGGTACCACATCCCATATGTTGGGCTTGTGCAGAGCCTTTCGAGGATAATGCTGGGCACTTCAGGGGTGTAATTCCCAGTACCTAGAAAAAGAGCAACCATGGGTAAAATAATGGAGTTACAAAATTCGTCGGAGAACCAGAAGATTTTCATCAAGTACTTGATAGGTATCAGTGCGAAGAAAATCTCGAACCATCGGACGATAGTGAGCATCCTCTTAAATCTCCTGATCTGCTTTTGGTGTTTGGCCAAGAGTTGGGTCGGGAACACATTGGACCAGAAGATATCATCTTTGCCAAAAGAAACCTGAGAACTTCAGTCAATCTCCAATTTCCCCTTAATTGGGAAGCAAACTCACCTGAAGCTTTACCGGGTCTGCATGATGTCCTTGCCTTGCAAACATTGTCATTGTGTGATGAAAGATATAGCTTCCACCCTGAACGCCTTGATTCATCCAACTAGCCCCATGACGTTCTTTATCAATTGGGATTGAGAAAGCCTGTCCGCCACAATAGTCGACAGCGTCAATGAGAGTAACGTCAAATTTGTCCAGGTGCTCAGCAAGGTGGTGAGCACATGACATGCCTGTAGTTATGTCAGCACCACTCTCCGTCAACGTTTCCACTGCCTCTGACCTGCAGCTCCAGCTCCGACAACCAGCACTCTCTTCCTCTCCGGCCTGGTCTTCCTGTTCGTGGCGGCCATGTTAGTAATCGAAAGAATGGGCTTCGACGAGTGCTGCACGAGGAATTAAAAGGAGGGAGGAATTTTTCAGGAGTGAGTCAAGCCTGCAACGGTTATATTTGTTTTCAGGCGCCATCGCCGTGGATGGTAGATTGACGAGGGACTGCGTCATGATGAGACAAAATAGGGTTGGTAGATCTGGAACGCACACGTCCAGCATGACGATCGCGAGATTGGCGAGCAAGCTAGACCCATTCGGGCCTCACTCCACTATTGACAGTGAAATCCAAATTGCTGGTCTAAAATACTGGAAACTATTCTAAGTTGTTAAAGGGCAAAATTATGGAGCATGTTGGAACATACTTAGTGGTGATGGGATTTAGATACTGTACATCCCTCTCAACGTCATCGTCGTCCAATCATCAACGTTGTTCCAGGGTCAATGAAGCTACTAGAATACGCAGCATGATAGTTGTTCATTGCGATGTTACCGTCCGGAGTTCCAATTTCGAAGAAAATCCTAAGAACCTGTTGCCGCTTCATTCTCGACCTAGTCGTTCGTTACATTCGAGATTTCGACTATGCCTGTCGACATTCTATGACCAGTGACCATTGTTGGTTGTAGTGTCGGTGAAGGAACACTAGGCTCCACTACTGTTTTCTGCAGTGCATATGTTTTGTCTATAGCGCCCGTAATGTAGGCAAATTTTATGACAACTTGGCTCGGGATGTTGTCCATCGGTGCCGACTTTGTTGAGCGGGTCGAATTGAGAATAGTTCACACTGAAGCGTGTCGAGCAATGTCTTCTAAAGAATTCAGTTAGGTCCTTGTTCGGGTAAGAAAATCTGAAAACGGTGGTATAATTAGCCCAGATTTAGGTGGTAAACCTAGCTACAACGAGAGCCTTTTCATCCCTTCAAGCGCCTCATCCTGAAAGGTGCCGCACAAGCGAAAGGTCATGATAGGCATCAAATCAGAGGATTTCGAGCAAGTTAGATAGTATATTTGCACCTCTTTTACGTGCCTGAACAGATTACAAGTGTACTAGGGTATGTGAAGAATACATATATCCATGAAACACCGTTGAAGTAGCGTAATTTATTACCCTAGCAATACATTGGATGCTTTTGCATGCGGAGGCCATGGAATCCTCCCTCAACGCTAGGATCTGGTTTATGCCATCTGATTAGTAGAGTGGCTTGTCATCTAATAAACAAATTTTGTTATCGACTTTCTGGCAGAGACAATTGTGCGTGACAACACGGCAAGCAAAATAATAGTACACGTGTAATAAAGTTAATCCTCGGGTTTCCTTGGGGAGGGTAAATGTTCAAGACAGAGGTGGGGAGGTTGTAAGCTTCGTAGGTGGTGCAGCGGAAGTGTGTTGTATTTTTGTTGTATTGATGATGGAACCTCTAGGGCAGTCATGGTACAGGCACGAGTAGATAGTAGCTTGGCCTGGTTACAGGATTCGAATACCATATATACCTGCTAAACAAAGCATCAACTGGATGGTCTTTGGTTCCATGCAGCCTAAGTTGATGGAAATGTCCGTCATCACAAGAGCGAAGATCGACATAACAGAGATTAGTTTATGTCAGATCCATGTCCATCATTGGCTGTTGAAATGTGAGTCTGAATGCAGCATGGGGGGATCAGGGCGAATGACGGTCAGCTGACAGTACTTTGTAAGCTTCACTTGCACGTCATTCTAGCAGACCTCGAAAACTTCTCTGGCAGCGAGTAACTGCCTAGGTTTGAAGAAATGAGGTGGACTGGCACTGGAGGCGCGAAAAGAGTGAGACTGAAATTGGTTAGGTTAAGAGCGGTAGAACTCAAATGCCCAAATTTCAGCTGAAAGGTGTCTACTTATACGATCGTGGGTGTTAGTAGAATGCACTCTACCATATTTTAGCTCTTGAGTAGTAGACTTAAAGTGTTGGAACTCTTACCAGCCAGCTATCACTCAAACTGCTAAAGTTTCAGGTAATTGAAACACTTTTGTCCGAACGGATAATCACCAACGCAGGATTCGCACTGGCCTAGTGTAAGAAATATCCGGCTAGCAGACCCCATTTCTTCTTGTCCATATCTAGAGCAGACGCAGGAAATCGCTAGGAACAACGACAACATTCTACTAAGTCTGACTTGGATGAACCCAAGGTTTCCCCACCACGCTTATACCCAGCCCTCTATTCCTCAACTCACTCTCCATCATTTTCAGATTCACTGCCCAGTCCGGACTGCCTATCGTCACCTCCACGGTCCAATCACCCACCTTCAGGCCTTTCAATGGCTCGAACACACTAACAAGTCCAAGGGGCGATACATTCGCAGGATAGAATCCTGCCCGCCGGACGTCGATCCTGAGTTGACGTAATTTGGTCATAGCGAGCAAAGCTTTGCAGCCTGATTCCCAGGCTACTTCCGCGCCGGGATAGGCGATGTAGGAGCTTTTCCCTCTCAGAGGTTGATTTTCGTATTGATGCGGCTCAAAGAAATGGGAGAGATGGACTGAGCGAATAGAGGCGAAGCGTTTGGGGCGGATTGTGGTTTGAAAGAACGTCAGGTTCCAGATGTGGGGGAAGAGAAAAGTGTTTGAAGTGTAGAGCACGTCAATCGCCTCAGAGTAGCTGATTCTCCAGTTAGTGTGGTTGCTTTTAAGGGAAGAAAAGACAGGCGTAAGACTCACATTTGGCGACATGTCAAGAGCAGGTTTAGCAGACTCATCTCTGCTAACTGTAGATCCTTCTTGAAAGGCTCCACTTGATCTCGCACATGGCGTTTATATAGCACTCCATCTACCTTGGGACAATCTTTACACATCTCACCAGCGCAGGCAGAATAGCCCATCTTCCCCTGTTTGCGCAGGATATGCAAATCCTGTCTTCCGACTGCGTACTCCCAGATTCTCAGACGAATCTCTGCAGGGAGTCGATTCAGCAACAAACAATCTGGTTGTGTAGACTGTGGTTGAGGCCCTTCATGGTAATGACCAGTCCTGACCCTCTTGGAACGCCGTGTGATCGGAGGGGGCGGCGAAAGCTCACGGAATCTCCGCTTGGAAAGAGGTTTGGGTTTTTGAGCTTCATATCGAGCCTTAGTGATCTTGAGATACTGGTCAACGCGCATGCGACAGCGACACATTTCGTTCAGGGTAATTGCACAGCTGTCACAATACAAGAAAAGACTCGCAGAGACTAATCTGTAGGGGAGAAAGGTAGGGTAAGCGAGCCCCAGAACTGAGCAATAATGGGAGACGAGAGAATTATAAATATCGCACAGTTACGAGTTCACAAGGCAGACTGCTGCCTAAACGAACTTGTAGACGAAGGCTGAGTGGCGTAGCACACAGAGAGAAAAGGAAGTTTAGAAGGAGGGGTAGTTAGCGCGAAGCAGAACATCCCACTTAGGGTCGCACAATTACACGGATGAGTCACCATCATACAAACATTATTCTCCCCTTCACCACCAGAAATAACATTGATGTCGTCTAATGGCATTTAGCGGCGAACGATGCACGTGCACGTGCAGACTTGGGCTGTACTGGAATTTAGAAAGACTGAGTTAGGGCAGCTGCAGTCGGCATGATATCCTACCATCTCGTTCTCGTGCCCAAAAGGCTACAAGAGAAGGTAGGGATACACTGATATGTTTTAATTTGTTGGAGGGGTTCGGATAAATGTTTATGAAATACATCGGTCTGTCCTTGTCGTACACTTTCTTTCAAGGTTAAGGGGTATGATCTGAACGATAAAGAAAGGAACTTCTACTACTGGTAGTCTTCATCGGAGAAATGTATCGATCCCACGCTCCTGTGAACTAAGCCTTTCGAGTCATTATTAAGACAACCCATTAAACGCCGTGAGGTCCTAAGATGCGAGCCCTTCCCTTGACCAAAGCAGGCTATTTTTATGACTGCGTGGCAGCGCCAGCTCCATTCTCGCCCCCGTTTCCACCACCAGCTACGCTGGTGACAAATTCCTGGTATCGAAACACCTCGCCTCTTCCGAGACCCTTACCGCCCTTGCCGAATGCTCTCCTCCCGCTGAAGCCTTCAACCACCATGTCAATTTCCCTTTCAGTTAACTTTCTCTCCCCAGATTCTGGTGCCGTGTGCAGTAAAGCATCTTTCAGCTCACCTAGGTCAATCTGGCCGTCGTCCCCATCATCGAAAGCTTCAAATGCAGCGTTTAGCTCGCTTGGATGTGAGAGTCCCACTAATAGGTCCGACAGCGTGCTCAGATATGTCGCCAAGTTGATTGAGTGTGCGCCATTGGGAAAATATGATGCGAGTGTCGATGGAGTAGCGCTGAGACCGAGTTGGGAGAGCATATCGGCTACGTCTGCCGAGTTCAGGCTGCCGTTGTTGTCCCGGTCAAGCACACTAAAGGATTCGCGCATGCTATGTAAGAGTGGAGGAGGGATTTTGGATAGCGCATCACTCGAGCCGGTTCGTGGGGCTGGAGCGGATCGAGGAGCAGGGGGTGGATTTAGGGAGGCGCTATCGAATCGCGCGGCAATTGAGGCAGTGTTCGTCGGCCGTACTGTATGCTGTGTAGCGGTTGAGAGATTGCGGGTTGGCGAGGAAGGTGGTTCAGGTACGGTCGTGGTTCCACGCGTGTTCAGCCATGTAGGTGGGTTGTTTGAGGCGTTGCTAGTAGTGGTCTGGCGGAGAGCGGCTTGGGAAGGTGTGGCCTCTTTTGGTTTGAGCGGTGAGCTATTTGGCGTTGATGGTCGCAGGGTGGACGGGGAGAGTGCGAGCGGCGAGTTGGGGCGGCGAAAGGGAGATGTGCGCGGACTGTTGAACGAGAGCGGGGACGGCTTGTAGGGTGTTGGAGTTGTGGACTGGTGCGAATCAATATTTGGAGTGGTCGAGGTGATACTGCCGCTTACCATGCTTGTTTTCGTTTCCTGCGTCGTAAGAGGTTGTTGTCATTAAGATTCAGGCGCAGGTGAATGTTGCGGGGCGGTATGTTTGGCTGGTGTTGATGTTCGACCATTGGCGCGGCAACCAACTGCAATCCGGCCAAAACACGGCATCACGTGCACCATAATTAAGCTCGGGAACGCTAGCACCGATATCGATAAGCGCAGGACCCCTGCCTGCGTCGCACCTCCACAACGTCCACTGTAATGGCGAAGCGCCGCACAAACTTCGTCTGAACACTACAATGTGATCCTTCACAATACAATACCTAGGTAAGCTAGACCGTCCCCCGTTACCCCATTTTCCCTGCCTGCCCAACATCAAATCAAACCAAGTCTCAATCGACCGTCACGTTCCTGAAACCACACGTTTCGGAACAAGCCTCCGCCGAGGGGCGGCCCATACTTCACGCCCTCCAGCACATCACCGGCGTGAATGGGTTGAATTTGGAGCGCTGAAGCAATCACTTCATAATGGCGGAAATTATGACGCAGAGAGTCAATGGCGGGCTACAGCGACAGGCGTCCTTCTCTTCCTTTCCGCCCTCGAGATCTCCCTCTTCGATATCTACCCGGAACGACAACAAGAAAGGCCGGTCGCCCCAGCCTCCAATGGTCAGAGAAGATGATGTCTCATACAGCTCGTCTCATCCGCATTCGTGCAATTCCTCCCTCTCGGCGCCACGAGTCGCAAAATCCAAGAACGCAGCCAAGATGCGCTCACAGTACCCTGCCGATTCGGTGGAGAATCATGTGGAATACATACTGGTTGCATCTTTTGACATTGACCGCGGGTCGGTCATGGAACACCAGTACCCTGGGCCGATTAGTGGGGATGAGACGATGTTGGCGGAACTCATGCTGCCGGATCAGGCACATGTCCGCAGTCAGGATTGGACTATTTTCTTTTTGCATAAGGATACGAGTGCTGAGGATGAAGAAAAAGAGGCGAGAAGGGAGAGAAGGAGGAGGCGCAGGAGGAAGAAAGAGGGCCTGGAAAATGGAGAGGATACAGCGGCTGGGGCGGAAGAGGATGAGTGCGGACCGGACGACGAATCTTATGACACCGAGGATGAAGAGAGCGATGACGATACCGACGCTGACGGGCCACCTCTCGTGTATGTATTGAATTTGGTGAACACTAAGCAGGACAACACAGTGAAGAGGTCTGTTCTCCAGCGTTAAGAGACTCTCTGTTGCTGACCTTGTTCAGAGGTGCTATCGTCAAGGCCATGGCAATTTGTACAAGACATTCATTCTTGCACATATACAAGGTGAGTGAATACTCTATAAGAAGTTCAGACTACTTATGCACTCTAGCCCCTTTTGCTCCTCGCACTTGAAGAATACTTCAGGGCGCCAGTCATTGAAACTCTCGCTTCGCTTTATAATGCTCTGAATGCCATGGATCTGTCGTTGATGCCGAAACTTTCCAATCTGGAGTCTTTTATCTTACAGTCTAGCGACGCGAAAGACATGTTCATCGAGAAGTTTGAAGTCATGATTCAACAGCGCTTGGTCGAGGACGCGGAACGAGATTCCCTTCCTTCAGCGACGTCCTCTGGGTCTGATCACAAAGCCCGGGAGTACAAAGCTCCACGAGATACGCACGAATTTGAATCGAAAGTCAACTACAACGGCATCCCCGTCCCAATCAAAGTTCCGACGGCCTTAAGCCCAGAGACTGTGGGAGACTTCTCACTTATTAAACTGATCCAGACCTTTTCTAGTCCTCATTCAACACAACCGCAACCTTTTGCTCTTCATCCACACCTCACAACAAGCGGAGCTTACACTCATCCCATCATCGTCCTTGTAAACGCTCTTCTCACTCAAAAGCGAATAATATTCCTCGGCCACAATCGACCTTCTAGTGAGGTAGCTGAAGCGGTTCTCGCAGCCTGCGCATTAGCTTCGGGTGGCCTTCTTCGAGGCTTCATTCGTCACGCTTTTCCCTACACCGATCTTACCAAAATTGATGACCTCCTCAAAGTCCCCGGCTTCATCGCTGGTGTTACAAATCCCGCTTTCTCCCACAAGCCAGAATGGTGGGACTTACTATGCGACCTCCCTACCGGCCGCATGAAAATCAGCCATCGGATCGAAGGGGCACCAGTAACCGAAGGCCTGCTGTTCTTCCAGCAACAAAGCGGCCTACCGAATGGAGCAGGTGGGCTGCAGCTTGGCGCCGATGGAAAGAGCGGAGCTGCGGATCCGACTGGGGATTCTCAGTTCATGGAAGGGCTTCTTGCCAGCATCGCAAATCGCCATGGTGAAAATGCTATCCGTGCAAAATGGCGTTCCTGGATCCTAAAGTTTACGCGTATCGCCGCCGCGTTCGAAGAAACCGTCTACGGTGCATCAGCCCTCTATGCCGGATCCCACGAAACGGATATTGGCGTCTATGGTGTCTCAGGCCACGGCTTCGTCTGGCCAGATGAAGGCTCGCGAATGAGAGAACTTGCAGCAAATGTCCACAGAGTTGAAGGCTGGCGAAGCACGCGTTCCTATTACTCGTTCGTCCAAGATCTCGCAAAACGCTGGGATAAGAGACCCGTAAGGGGTATTGATTTACATCATCAGCATGACAAGCTTCGCTGTCTCCGCCTCTCACACGACCAATCTGCAGCCATATACCTCGCTTTCGCACGTGCAGTCGAAGAAGCAGGCTTAGGTTCCTCATCCACGTCTTCAGATGACTTGACCTCCGCTGTTGAGAGATCGTTGACGCTGAATGATCCTTCGACATCGATTGCGCATCAACGGCAGCCATCGGAGCAGTTGCAATATGACACGATTCTACAATTGCTCATGGTCGTGCCGGAATCTAATATGGGGCTGTTTTATTTGTCTTTGGCGTTGTTTCATCCAAGGGAGGAGGTTAGATTAGCGGTTGTGAGATTGTTGGAGAGGATCATGAGTCATGAGGCTGGGAGGCACTTTTGGGGGAGTTTGGGGCGGTTTGCGAAGTTGGCTTTTTATAGGGTTAAGAGGGAAGATGGTGGGGGTACTGTTAGGTAGGGGTCTGATTTGGGGGGGGGGGGGGGGGGTAGAAGCAGAGGAAGGGGGGGGAATAGCTGTAGCAGGGATATAAGATGGCAAATGTGGTGGGAAATAGCTCGAGCAGTTACTCGAATGAAGGCTTGGATTTGGCGACTTTGTTTGGGTACGTGCATGGCACTTCGACTGCGATGAATAATTTTGAGCACAGCTAACTTTTTTTTGGTTTGCTGACAATTCAATGCTCCAAAAACCCTCGGGGATATTGTTGTAGGGAGGGCAGAGGTATTTTCGGGTAAAGAGAAAGACTGAGAGAAGAGAGGAGTGATGATGGCAAGGACTCAAGAACTTGGCGTAAAGAATAGTCATGCAAAAGATTCAGAACTTGAGGTAAAACATGGCAGGAAAGTGGCAATGAGTTGAGGGGTTTGGAAGCTCCGTGCTGGGGTAATGAGAAGTGAAGAAATGCCAGCCGTGGTAAGCTGTCTGATAAGTCTAGAATGCAGATAGAAATGGTAATATGCGGACGGGTCCGGTGACTCAGATTTGACGGATGCTCACAGAGTTGGTTTCAGTACTAGGATTGGGAAAGGTGTAGACTATGGAATCCGCCACTTGGGAGAAGTATATCTCTCGAATCTATCTGGAATCGGGGTTCCTTCTAACTCTGTTCTATTAAACCTTTCCTCAACCCGAGTCGCAATCGCCCGAGCTACCTTTTTATGAAGTGGGAGATCAAGCGCGATTATAGATACAGCTATGCCCCATCCTCATTATATTAGTCGTGAGACACTTTAGCATTGAAAGTATCGAATGGGTGAGATATAATTTCGTGACAGTCAGCTAAAGTGACAATGGAAATCCGAGCTGCAAACTCACCATTTGCATCGACCACAACATCTGTCTGAATCGGCATCTCTTTCTGTGCAGAGGCTGCACCTCCTGTTGCCTCTAGGGTGCTCTCATTCGTTGGCATTTGGGATATTGTACCAGCCACTCCAGGGAGGGCCTAAGAATTGTTCTGAATGCCGCCATCCCATTCCAAGATTAACAAGCCACCGGTGGCACCTTCAAACTTAAGCTTCAATTTTCCTCATGTCACTTCGAAAAAAGCTTCCAGATCGGGCAATTAGAAGTATTGACCAGATGCATCCTCACAAGTCTCTCCATATGATCATTCTCGTGCACGTCCGAGCTTCGAATGGAGAAATTGGAGTTTGCTCCACCTCCACCCCCCAAGTGTCATATTTAGATGGAGGGTTCTGTTGAGTTTGATTATGTGAGTTTTTATCGTTAATTTTGTCGATTTTGTGCACCATGGTTTGCACCATGGTTGCAACGACTTTGTGATAGGCAAGGGGAAACTTCCGAGGTCCAAGCAGTCAATGCCATTAATAAGGGATATTCGGGCTGGCGGGGAAGGGAGTTGAGGAAGAAGCTACAGCGGTACAAAAGTGAGATAAATATTGACGAGGGACAACCCTCATTAAGCATATATTCTCAAAGTTGCCTTCTAGATAGAAGCTCCTGCGCTCTTATTAGGTCCCTTCTAAAGGCAGTAAGCCTTAACTTGTTCTGCCTGTAACGGTGAGCGGTGCAGTTGAGCATCCTGAGAAGAACTTAAATGCAGAGCAAGATTTAAGAGGGACTTCACTTTCATAGTACGTGATAGGGAACCTCGAAACGTTGAACATGAAGACTGTTCGAATATAACTTCCATCTTCTAAAACTTGAAATGTCTTCTCCGGTCCCCAACGTAATCAGTAATAACGTCCCTCCACAAGCGGCAGTTTCCGGAAACTGCTCAGAAACGTTCTAATCCGAATTCTGTTTTCGTAGTGCTGACGACAGTATTGATAAATTTCGTCTAACTAAGCGACCACAAAAAATTACTTTATTGGGTCAGAGCAGTATCAACGATGAGCTCGCCGCACATAAGCGAATCAATTGAGATCTTGCTTACCATTAGTAGAGTTTCGTGGCACAGAACCCGATATTTTAAAGGGAGGCAGAGCACCAGGATTCCATCTTCCGTTGTTCTCTGCAGTTCTCTTAGTTTGGACGTAACTTCACTCAATTCACTATGGACGCCATCCTTGGATCCATCTATGCCTTTCCCGCACCGCACCGAACACGCACTCGGCCACTCCAGGTCATATGCGTAGGCCCATCTCGCTCCGGCACCGACTCTCTGCGTCAAGTACTTCTCCAACTCAGTTATCCAAACGTCTTCCATGGCTATGAAACCATTTTTGATGAGAACCGGTACCAAAAACCACTGCTCTCTCGCATCCTTAAGAAAAAGTACAACGGCGGGTCCAAGGATGGTAACATTGTCTTCACAACTGAGGAATTCGACCAATTATTTGCAGATTACAACGCTGTAACTGATATGCTAGTTGCAATGATGGCAGTAGAGCTTGTATCCCGCTTACCCAAACGCAAAAGTCATTCTGGATCGACGAAAAGACGTAGATGTATGGTGGGCTAGCACGGCGGCGACCTTCATGGTGCAGCAGGATAGTTAGATAAATTGGTTTCTGAGTTGGTTCTCGCCAGATTTGTATTGGACAAGGAAATTAGTTCTTCGGGAGGGATTTCGTTTGTTTTACCAGGGAGATTTTAAGCCAAATGGGAAGTGGAGGTATCGAGAGCATTGTGCGATGGTTGGAGACCTTTGTGCGAGTTCTTGGGAAAGGAGGTTCCTGATACGGATTTCCCAAGAGGTAATACTGGGAAAGATTTCGCATACAAGATTTGCAACCGCGCATGCACACCACCGGAGACAAGCGTATCAAGATATGGCGTTGGTCTGTGTAGTCCTTATTGCCATCGGTTCGGTGGTCGTATTTACGCCTAACCAGGTTGTATCGAAGTCTGCCAAGGCCTTCATCAATGCGAAGCTCGGCTCGGATTTGCTCCAGTTACGGAGATTCGGCCTTGTATTAAATACGAGACGTAGCTATAGAAACTCGCTATGAGCAATGGATAACATGTTCTCGAGAAACATATTGTTGTCTAGACCTGCTTCTAGCGGGAAAGTGTCCATGAATTCTTCAAAGTCGACCATATCTAGATCTTGTGTAGCAGGAACCCACGGATCCGCGGGAGCTTCGGGGTCGGAAATGATTGCATTTGCCGGACTAGATTCTGAAGCCGCATGCGCAATTGCAGCTGGTGAAATATTGTTTGGGAATGTATCAATCGTAGCGGATGACGGCAGATTCGGTCTCGAGGCTTCTATTCTCTTATTCCGTTCGTTAAGCAAGGAAGTAAGAAGGCGGATGCCGTGTGCAGCTAGTGAGCTCGTGGGTAGCCATCTTTGGAGGAGCTGGATCGCCTTTTCAACTAGTGCTAGGTATTCTTGAGTCTCGGGCTCTCTCTCAGAACGGTGGAAGAGATCAAGAGCGAAACAGAGGCCGGCGGTAACTACAAAAGCCTATATTGTAAGTTAGCACACTACTCAAGCACGAGCCTCCCTTAGGAATCGACAACGCTTGCACGCATGTCAAGTTACACAGCGGGTATCTTGGCAAATAGAAGGAGTGGCATACCTGTTCGACCCACCATTGCGGTTCTTCCTCTTCCCGCTCGGGGGACAGATGCTTTATGATTTGTTTTGCTGAGTCAATGCATGCCCAACGACTGTAAGCAAATTGAGGACATTTGAAGCTCTTAGGCATGAAACCTTGATGAATCATAATGATCTTGTGATACAAAGAGGCCTGATGCAAACGTCTCGCCCACACTACCCAGCGCGGCCAGGAAGGATTGAAAGGCGTGCCAGGGGACATGCATTTTGGAACTCTTTCGGTACACAACGCCCGCATCTTTTGGTCGCTTCTCAGGACTACGTTGTATTTTGACATGAGATCCGGTGCATCGAGCATTTCGTCGTGAAACTCAATCAAACTTCGGGCGACATTGTGGAGATGTAAGGCGGACTGGGTAACCGTAGGTATGTCATCCCCAACTGGAGTCATAGATTCTTCATCGAAGTAGCCCGGCCAGACTGTAGTAAAGTGTTTCTTTTGTATACTATATTGGCCCGTTGAGGTAGAGCAAAGCCAGTCATGGGAGACCATTGCATACCAGGTCCTTCGTCCCATTTCGCGTTGGATCAGGGCTTCCTTTTGTTCGGGGGTGGCCCCACTGGATATGTTGTCTTCTGGGTGAGGACCAAGTCTGTTCATATGTCAGCTCCAATAAGCAAGTAAAGGAACAAAGTCCTTACCTATGTAAGCCAAGCCCTCGAGCCACTCCAACGGCAGCACCTTGATAAACCATGAATTCTTTGGAAGATCCGACTAGATGCTCTGATGTATGCAGGTTTAGAATTGCTTGCACAGAGTAAATATGGAACCTCGACGCGAAGTCTCCAAGTAAAAGACAAGAGATTGTGGCGTGAGCCCATTGCTTTGTCAGACGTAACTTTTCAGAGCGCCCATAACCCCAGGCTGTCGTAGAGGCGTCCGGAGCAGCTATAACTGTTGCCGAAAGAATTGAAAACAACAGCCCAATCCAACGCCAATCGATATTCTGGGTCTGAAGATCAAGAGCGTCAGAATGACCAAAGGCTTCTAGCACGCTCTTTCGAAAGCTTGGAGAATGATAAACCCCTCCCATCCAGTATATCATGAATTGTTCGTGGTAATCGATCATCTGTAGAGTTTGGCTCTTGGTAGGTAGAAGCGATTGGAGTTGGAGGACTTCAAGGGCACGAGCGGGGGCTGAGAATGGACCACATGAAAGTGTAAGGTCGTCCTCATCTAATCGCCTGGGCTGGCTTTGGTTAAGGGTTTGATGCGCCAATGCCTTGCCTCGAGCGTCCGCATCCTTAGCCGATAAAAGGGCGCCAATACTGATATCTGAAAAGTCGGATCGTCCAAAAGTGACGAAGTCGAGATGTGTGCTTGGCGGCGCGGTTTCCTGTGTTCCAGGTCGAGCTCTCTCGCTGGAAGATGCACTTGAAAATGAGCGCTCACGGATGGAATCATCTGTCCTAGTGCATCGACTCACACATGGATTTGTAAGTCCAGTCTGCATAGATAGATCCTGGCCAGAGAAAGGAGAATCTGGCCATCCCGGCTGGCCTTGTTGGGAAAGATTCAGAGGCGCTATCGGATCAGGAGAATTTAGATCTGGGGCTTGAAGGCGCGCATCCAGTTCCTTCTTTGGATATTTACGATGAACGCTTGGATTATAGCCATTGGTCCATTGCGTTGTACAGAGATGGCCTTCCTTGTTCTGGATGCATCTCGAGCAGGGGCTCTTCCGGTCGCATTTCTGCCGGCGCATGGAGCACCGAGTGCAGGTCTGTCGGAGTTTGGGCATCGCGGGAGCGTTGTCCGGTCACGTTTTGATGGTTAGGACAAGAAAAAGTGGTAGGCTTTGCAGAAGGGGCCATGAGATTTAAAGGCTCGTACATACCCGTCGTACAACCTCGTACATGACGCGAAGCTCGCCTTCCACGTGAAACAATTGTGCGCCAAAGCCTACGACAGCATTGTGGTCTTCAATATTACTGGTTGTGAAGATGGTTCCAACCTCAGGGGAAAGGAGACAGAATAATTGTCTGCTCATTTTATGAATCCCTAAAGGCTGTGTTAATCTTTCTGTTGATGGGTTATTTAGTATTAGGAATACGACGCATCGGGCATTCGGCGAAAGGAAAGCGCGAAGTGTGTAAAAACTTGCAACCTAACCCTTCTTCACATCATGCTTTATGTACATACCCACAGACTTTGTCTCCTACTATTACATTGTCGATTATCGAGCGTGGATATCCACTTAAAAGAACTAGCAGGTCTATAATCTTTACACGTTGCTCCTTTTATCCCATTCTCTATCCCAAAGAACCTCGAAATACAGATTGGATGATAAACATCAGGGTGGATCCTAAACTTTGACAAATATCTTGTACTCGGCGACTATCGCTCTTGTGAAAACGAACATCGTGGCCCCTGCAAGAAGCATTACACCAGCAAAGATGCACAAACCATCAAATCCACCATGATCTCTACTAACAATCGCTCCAGCAATAGGGGATCCAGCCAATCCTGCGAAGCTCACGATGGAGAAAAGCATTCCTACTCGGATTCCGATCTGCTCAACTTTAGAAATGAATGCGATCTGTGCGGGTGCGAGGGAGACGTATGCACCAGACGCGAATCCGTAGAGGGCGGCGAACGCGATGAAGGCGGCATTCCCTGACGCTGGGAGGGCTAGAGCTAGGACGAGGATACCGGTAAAGAAGGACATTAACACCTGCATGTTGAAACGGCCGACCTTATCTGCGAGAATCCCTGGTATGATTCGACCGAATATACTAAAAAGAGTTAACCGCGTTACACCGCTTCCGGTAGGAGACGCTACATACCTCGCCGCGTTTAGGATGGGAATTAAATAGCCAGCAAGATGGAACGACATGCCATTTGCCAAAGCCTGAACTTCGACAAAGTTGATTGGAATGAATAAACCCATGAAGAACAGGAATGACGATATTGTGGTCAATACAAACCGGATATCCTTGAATGGTTCGATAAAAACTCCAGGGACAAAAGGTCGAGGTTTCGGCGGTAGACGAGATTTTACCGTGAGTATAGCGATTCCAAGCAATCCAAGAATCATAAAAGCGCAGATTCTCATCGTCCAGCCATATCCGACTTCAGGGATCAGATGTTGGGTCATGATTGGGAAAATGATGCCACCTAGACCCGATCCAGCGGCCATTATGCCAAAGGCAGCGCCTCTTTTCTTGAAGAACCATGAGGTAATGGAGCTAGTAGCAGCCGTGAATATGCAGTTTAGACCAAGAGGACTACAGATACCTTGGGCTAGGATGAATTGGTAGTATTCCTTGCAGAGAGAAGTCATCATCAGGCCAAAGACGTGAAAAAAGGTGCCAATGACCAAGAGCCATTTGGGTCCATAATTGTCGAAAGAGAAACCCACAATTGGCCCCGGAATGAACATGACGAAGATCTCGCAAGAAGATATCCAGGAAATCGTACTTGGAGAGTACTGGCTGAGTTGGTTGCGCTGATAATAGTTCTGAAAAACACCAATGCAGTTGATCCATCCGAAACTGCAGAATAAACAGCAAAAGGTGCCGAGAAGACACAACCACGCGTCCTTGCCGCCGTCGGGGAATTGGCTGGGATGCCATGGGTTTAGAGTTTCGTCCGTAGCGTTCGTCTCTTTTGTTTGCACATCTTGTTCCTCTTCCACTTGTTGCTCAAGGTCCTCCTTTTCTTTGCACTGGAGGACAGAATCCTCGAGTGATGGCGTGGAGCTTCCGGGTTTTGGCATGGTTACGGGTTTAGATCGAAATCGAGAATACTTGAAGGTATTTGACAAAGTTGAGATTTGAGAAGGGTGTGAAGTCTGAATATGAGCATTGTGAGTAGACCAGAGGGGGTGGTAAATAGGAATCTTAATATCTCAAGCCCTCGCGCCTAGATAAGTCCGAGAGGGGATTCATTGTCTTGTACGAAAGGGTTGTACAAACTGCGCCCCAGAGACCTCGTTTGACACGCAGATTTAGTGTCGCTTTCGAGCAACCCTTGTCGGCGAGACGATGAAACCTTGGCTCGCCCTCCTTGTAGCGTGGGAGTGGAACTCGGAGTTGAGAAAAAGCGATCGACCGAGGGGCCTCACTCCGTGCTTCAGATGTTTACAGTGAATAAACCGCCAATAATAAGGCCATGTGAATGACGTGAGCAAGCGGACATACCGGTGCAGGACACTTAAAAATGTTTTTCCTTCGGCGTTTCGGTCGGCAGAACGCTGGAACGGTAAGTTGAAACCCCGTGAACTGCGAGGCTCGGTGAATGTTGGAAGGGAACACAATACCAAGGTAAGAAACTGCGGTCTGGTGCCATCCGTATGCCTCAGGAGCGGCAGCACCCTGGACTAGTTAGCGCATCAGTCCCCATATAGATTGTGATACTGTACTGTTTCGACGGACATCATAGATATATTATTAATTGATGGGGACGGCCACTCGAGCACCAGCCTCCAAACACCAACCTTAGAAGTCTGTCTCTTCAAAGCTCCGTGTGGCTTGGCTTTAGGTATGCCTTAGAACCAGCAAGAGTAGGATAGATTCTTCTGTTGTATTAGCGTCTGGATATAAGAACACTTCGCAAACAGTAATCTAAAAACATTCCTCGACTGGTCTTGTTCAACATCGCCTTTATTTTACTCTCTCAACCAACCAACCGGGCGTACGAATGGCGAGTTTATTCGATTTATCGACAACCCGATGACGTTGCGTAAGAACTGAGCGTATTACCGAATGGGGACAAGGGAGTAGAGATTTCATGCTCAAAGCATCGCAAACATCTAGAGGATGGGAGGGAGAACACAACTTGAGCCCGTGAACTACGGAACGCGCGGCGTAGACTAACCTAGGATTCGTCCCCAAAAAGCCGATCTCTTATTTATCAGTAACGCGCCCCAGGCGCGTTTTGTCGTGGGCAACGAGACTGTGGTTGTTGACCTGGAATGCTACCTAGATAGAGCTTGAGATCCCTACCACTACTTCAAACAGACGTCGATAAGGATCAAAATAAGAAAGGGAACAAAGAGTTAAATGATTAACAGAAGAAAGGGGAGTGTACTCTCTCTGCTATCGGACTTGAATGATGCGGTCTAAAATTGGGAATGCAGAGGTAGAGGGGAGTACTATTGCGGATGTGGCCCGTTGTCCAAGCTGCAGTGGTCCAACAGATACATTTTCTACGGTCGACCCATCGGTATAGGCCTTGCCCACCCAGATTATGCGGACAGATACAGATACTTCGCGCTAGCACATCGAGAAGTAGAGATGCATTCCGCTGATATGCGGTGGGTAGCTTGTTCAGCTGTTGAGACTCGGAGAAAACGATTGTCTTGGCCAATTCTTGCTCCATGACGCAAAATTGACTGACGCATTCGATTGGAGTTTCTGTTGCCCTTGGACTCAGGATCCGGACTGCTTCTTCCTTGGGGATCTCTGGGTGAGGAAGGTCTTCGCGGGAGCGAAGAGGGTGGTTCGTGGGAGGCCGCTGCCGGAATAAAGCCGCACGGGGCACTCTGGGGCTCGGCAAGGCTAGCGCGCCTCCCCAAATTATCTAGGTCGAAATCTTCTCTTCGCCAGGTGCCCTCACAGGATCATCAATCCAACCCCGAACCTCGACCCACCCATCGCATTACCACCGCCCTTCCATCTGCTTGACCTACCTTGGGGAGCTCCATCTACTGCCATCTAATTCGCCGCGTCCATCACACTCTCTCGAGCTCTTCCCAGCTCCCCAAGTCGTATCCCAGCACTCATCTCTCCCCAGCTCTCACCAGGCGCAAGCAAGTCAGTGTGGCCCAGACCAATCGCCTCTATTCTTACCTAACATTTGCTCTCTAGCAGTTCATACCCTCAATAATCTCTCCCCACGGAGAACTTTGTCCTGCCCCATCCTCACTTATCTTCACCCAGCATCGCCACCTCCGCGAAGCCAGTCCACCCGCCTACCTAATCCATCTCCGAACTTTTCAAGATGGCAACTGCCGAATCAACCATCCCTATCAATGGCAGCTATGCGCAACCGGCGTATGATGCCATGGCCAGCAGTTACAACGCCGCGAGCACCACCAGTGCCACCGGTTATAGTACCAGCCAGCAGGCCCCATCCAGCCAGCAGGGCAGCAGTGCGTCTACCTCTGAGATTCCAAAAGACGAGGTCGGCTGGTATTTCGTTGAGCAGTACTATACCACTCTCAGCAAGAGCCCCGAGAAGCTCTTCGTAAGTCCTCCCCCTCTTACTGCCATTCCGGCCCGTCTTCTCGAAGTGATCTCGCTAACTCCAGTCTCAGCTCTTCTACAACAAGCGCTCACAGTTCGTCTCTGGAACTGAGGAGGACAAGATTCAGGTGTGCATTGGACAGAAGGTACTTGGCAGCGAAATTCCGCTTAATCGACCATCAACTGACAAATACCTTCCTAGGCCATAAACGACCAGATCAAGGAGCTCGACTTCCACGACACCAAAGTCCGCGTCACCAATGTTGACTCTCAAGGTTCCGATGCAAACATTGTCATCCAAGTCATTGGTGAGATCTCCAACAAAGGCCAGCCGCACAAGAGGTTCGTCCAGACTTTTGTTCTAGCCGAGCAGACCAATGGTTACTTTGTGCTCAACGATATCTTCCGCTACCTTGCCGAGGAGCCAGAGGAGGAAGAGGAACAGCTTCAACAGGAAGCTGCTCCGGTCAGCGGTGTGCAGGAGCCTGCTCCCACAGCTGCAGTTCCTGAGGCCGAGCACCTGAACCAGAGCGACGAAGTTGCTGCTAGCGAGGAAGATCTTGTTAAAGTCGACCAGAAGCTCGAAGATGTTGTCCATGAAGAACCAGCCCGTGAAGCCTCTCCTCCTGCAGCTGTCAACGGTACCCCTGTACCGGAGACGGCTGAGGTCGTCCCAGCGGAAGAGGCTCCAGCAGCAGCAGTTTCAATTGAGACTCCTACCGAGGAGCCCGAGGAGCCTGCCATGGAGGAGACAATTGAGCCCGAGAAGCCGAAAGATCCCTCTCCAACGCCTGCCGCTCCTACTCCCAAGCCCGCTCCTCCAGCTGCCACGCCAGCCGCCCCGCTCAAGCCTGCTGCCCCTCGCACCTGGGCTAGCCTCGCTGCCTCCGCCAACAAGGTTGCCACTCCAAACGTTCCCACGCCCGTCACCCCACAAGCCCCACCTCAACCCAAGTCCTCCACCACCGCTCCGAGCCAACCCTTGGCCGTGCCGGCTGTTCAGCCTTCTGCTCCCGCTCGCGAGCCATCCCCAGCCAACAGCCAAGGCGAGACCGCAGGGTGGGAGACGGCTACCAAGCACAAGAAGGAACAATCGCGCGCTCAGAACCAAGCTCCGACTAGCGAGGCGGAGAGCAAGCGGGCTTACATCAAGAATGTCTACAGCCAGGTCGAAGAAGGTGCCTTGAGAAGCACTCTCTCCAAATTCGGCGATATTGAGTACCTCGACATCAGCCGCCAAAAGGTCAGTGTCTGCAACCCGTCACATTTAGAGTTTGCTAACCCGTGCAGAACTGTGCTTTCGTTGACTTCAAGACGGCTACCGGATTCCAGAACGCCGTCAGCAACAACCCTCACACTGTCAACGGTGTCGAAATCAAGGTTGAGGAACGCCGATTGCGCCCCCAGTCATTTGCACCGTACCAGCGCGGCGGCGCTCCCCGTGGTCGTGGAGGTATGCAGGGTCCCCGCGGGGGTTTCCAACCTCGTGGTGGTCGGGGCGGTCCCGTCGGACGCGGCGGTCGCGCAGCTGCCCAAGAAGCTTGAAGACGCGGATCCACCTCGTCTCAATGAACCCGTACTCTACCTTCCCCGTCGTCTCTCACCAGGTCTACACCATAGAGCGATCTCCTATGCTGAGCATCGAATATGGCTAGAACTGGCTTATTAACGACTTACGGCTTCACACACATGTACTGTACCCCTATCCCTTCCGGCGCCTGTCTAAAAGTTACCGAGCTTGTTTCGGCAAAAGTTCTAGCTGTCTGCATTTCGCGAGACATGGAGAACGCGCACCTGATTACCCTTGCATAGCGAGTCTTTTTTTATTTGCATTTCCCTCTGTACCCTATTTCGCCATCGGCGCTACCTTGTTATTAAGAAGAGGTTTCTTCAGTGTTTTGTTTTACAATTCTGATATCCCTTAATTTCCATCTGGATGGCCATCTGAGCGGTTCGAGGGCTGGATAGGGGTACGGACAATGGATCTGGCCGGATATCCATGCTGGACAGCCTTGTGATGGTGGTACTGGCGTGCAGAGTAAACTGCACAAGTTCGCTGTATTCAGTGCTTATTTGGGGCGCGTCATTAGTAGCAAAACTCTCGTCAAAAGTTTCCACAGCGGACAGAACAAGCAAGTGAAGAGGACGAGCGTGGCGAGCTTTGGAGTGGTGTAATTTAGAGGGCTGGACTGGACTGTGTATGATAGGCAAAGGAAATAATGGAAATATAGGATCCAAAAGAAGTGTGCCACGATGCGCTGAGGGGGCTAGTGGATGATAGTGTCACCTGATAGCACGCTTCGAAGGCGGCCGTTTAGAAGCATCATGTATGGTAGGGTGGAGGTTGATTCGCTCGGCCAGATTAGGGCCATGCAGCAACGGGCTAACCTACCATGTTGGACGTCGCAGGACATATCGTGTTTGCCGTGGCCGAGTCGACACTCAAGGCAATCACAGCATTCATCGCTCTTTTGGCCTGCGTTGTCTTCGTCTCCCTCGCCTTGGGCTGCTGTCTTTATCTTCAAGGACAACGGCACGCGGCCTGAGCTCCCACGGTTCGTGCTCAGCGGGGGTGCGTGGGGTCAGCTCGCTCGTCTCGCAACATCATCACTCAACACACACCATACCACCGCACCTCGAGCGTCCACGACCGCCTCCTGAGCAGCAATTTCCAGCTTGCATTCGAGTATTCACATATCTGCAGACCATCAACCATGCGGCCGTCATCGGGCGGCGACATTCTCCCCTCCATTAAACCTCGATCCCGCAAGTCCAGCGTCGCCGATCATTCCCCTGCCCACCATGGCCCATCTAGCCATGTACCTACCACCTTCTTCCTAAGGAGTGAGGAGGATGTAGAACTATCGATAGCTCAGTCACAGAGCACCGAGCCAGCAAGTAGGCAGCGGGAGAGCACCTTTGGCGTTCAGAGCTTAGCAGACACCTTAGCAGCTGCATTTGGCCAGGGAAGCGGTGCTATAGATAAGAGTACAGAGCATCTGGCCGAGACAGCGAAGGCACAGGAGGAGAGCTCGAAGGTGTCAGCAGCCAGCTCGCCGAAAGCCTCTAGCAGGAAGTCCGACAGTTCCAAAGCGTCCCCGGCAAGAAAGCATAGGAGGAGAGTCTCGAATCACACCACCTCCGCACCTCTCACCCCCCTCAACATCAATGCCGCATCTTCAGTACTTCCGTCGGCAATGCCGAGTACGCCCAAGTCTGTTTCGTTGCAGTCGTTGAAGCTCTCTGATGACGACTCCGGCATGGATGAAATGACTAGCCAAGCTATTACATCGAGTGGCGAGGAAGAGGAACAGGATACTCAGCAAGAGAATTCGAGCAGCTTCCCACAGCTTGTCATGCCGAGCATAGAGATGCCGACTCGAAGGCCATTCACGCCCAAAGGCAAGTCTATGGGGAAGCTGAAAGTGCTGATTGCGGGTGAATCTGGTGAGTAATGAGCCTCTCCCTGGTGTTCTACAACTAAACTTCTGTAATAGGGCTTGGGAAGACTTCGTTGATTCGCTCCATTGTACAGCTATGCGAGGATATTGTTCATGTAGATCCTTTGTCTCCATCCCAGTCCCTCATCCAGCCGTCGCCGCCACCAAAATCAAAATCCCGGAAGCGGAAAGTTGTCGGCCCCGGAACTCTAAGAATAACCGAGATTCATGCAAGCACAAGATCATACCCACATTGGTGGACAGATCTTGATGAGACCCGCGTGCTCCGACGAAGAAAGAGTTTAAGCGACACCGTGTTAGAGCGGAATCTTTGTTTCATTGATACCCCTGGATACAAGAGAGGTTCCTCAAGCACAGACGAAATGAACTTAGTGGTTGAATACGTAGAGTCACTGCTACATCGGAATGCGTTGACGGACTCGATGGAGGACAGCGAACTGCTTGGTGTTGTCAGCGGGAATGGGGGCATTCAGGTAGATGTAGTTCTCTACCTACTATCCCCTAGTAAGTGACACTGGTTTAAAGAAGTCATACCAAGCTAATTAAAAGAAGGCCACGATATATCTAAGGACGTCGAGTATATGCAACGCCTTTCTTCCCTCACCAGCGTCATCCCTATCATTGCGAAATCGGACACGCTCTCCCCGTCCGAAATTATAGCAGTCAAAACGTCGATATTAGCCCGGCTGCAGACTACTTCGATAAAGCCTTTCTTTTTTGGACAAGCGGTGGATGATGCCTTGCTAGCTGTTCAAGGGCTTTCTGTTCCTGGTTCTTCCTCCACTTCCCTGTCCGAGCCTTGCCAATATTCAGTTAATGTTCCAACTCATCCTTACACCATATCATCTACACCTGGTCCGGATCCTGACACAATGGATGCGTCACTACTCATGTCACCTGACTACGTGCAGCCCCTTCTCCCGTCTGAGCTCGCAACCTTGGTCTCCCAGGTATTTGATCCAGAGTCAATTGCATGGTTAAGGCATTCTGCAGCCAAGAAGTTCATTGCTTGGCGACGTCGATCGAAGCTCCCTGGAGATTCTTTCATTCTCCACAGCTTTGCGCAACAAAGACACCAGCAGCGCAGCAGTATTTCGAGCTCCTCCGTCGGCCTAAATGGAGGTGCATTGAACAGTACGAACATGCAATGGAATTCCTTGATCAGGCTAACATGATCTTCAGCCTCTACCACATCTTCCATCTTCTCTGCCACGTCACCGTCAGGAGTCCTCGTACCTCGAGCGACCTCTCCGTTCTACCTCTCGAACTCTAACTTCAATTCTAACCTCCAGTCACCATTCCCTGCATCTTCCCCTTCCCTTTCTCATGCTCCATTAGAAGGCCTCGAAGGGCCAACAGCCTTTTCTCTTGCTCGATACAACAACTATACCCAAGGCGAACAGCGATTCGCAGAAGTCAGACTGGCAAGATGGGCAAGTGATCTACAACGAAGCCTCCGGAACGAACGCGAACGATTTGAAGAGCTGCAACGTAACGAGCGGGCGAAGTGGCTACTTGAGCGTGTCGGTGAAGAAGTAAGAGGTGGCAACATTTCCTCATCGCCTAGAAATGGTTCTCCCCGTGCGGATTGGGCGATGATCAGACATGGAGACCGGAAAGGTACGAATGCGGATGAGCATTGGTATGGTAGGGGTGGGCGGTTGGATGCAAGAGACCCACTCGGATTGTGTGATTTTAGCGATGAAGTGAGAAAGAGGGGGTTCGTGCTAGTCAAGGTGCTTGGAGGTATGAGTGTGCTGGGTGCGGTTGTAGTAGCTGTAGTGAGGGCTTGTGGTGTTGAGGCGGGTTTGCCAGAGGCGGGGCTTTGGAGTTGGATTACAGGAGCTGCGGTTGCGGGGGCAGAGTAGTGCGATGCTCTGGGATGTGGGATCAGAGTTAACGAAGCGCCATGCGCTGGCTAGCCATGTAATACAGTCTTAAACATCACTCTGGAAGGTAGTTCACAGCTCTTGTATAACATGAACTTCTCTCGTTCTTTTATTTGCTGTGCGTTTCTGATTTGATACTAATGGCTTTGCGGTGATGATAGAGAGGTAGCATTAATAGAGCTAAGTAGACTCGAGCTTTTTGTACTCGCCTGAAGGGAAAAGGAATGATGCTCCAACTAAACCCGACCTATGAGTAGTAAGAGTAACCCTGTACTTAGACTCTTAGCATAGAGAAAGTTAGCTTAGTTAGATTATAGTTAGGAGAATGAAGAGGTAGACACTGTACTGTATCCCCTCCTTTTTAAATCGCATCTAGCATCCTCTTGTTGCAGATAGCATAGCAGTTATCTAAACCCGTACACATTATGCGTCTCTTAAATTAGCAATTAATAAGTAGCTTAGTGTTAAAGTAGCCCTACTAAGATGCTGTAAAATCTAGATAACTAGTTATAGTTTACTATAAGAGAGTATAGTGGCACTATGTAGGAGCAGTGTTTCTAGTTAAAAGGCGCTAGGCAGGTATAAGGCCAAATTCAACATCAAGGCTTAAAACAAAACCAAAAAAGGGGGGGTGGATAGTATTTAGTTAACAGTTATGTAATCTGTACATTATATAAAAGCGGCCTAATACAGCCATCACTTCATCTTGTCCAAGTACATCTAGCTGTGTGCGACAAGCTTACAAAATAGAGACTCTCCATTAGCTCGAGTGAACCTTAGAGAGCACTCTAATTGCTGTATCCTTAGGGGCGTTATTTTTAGTGTTATTTTTATATACCTTATAAAGAGCTAATAGATCTTGTACACTGTAGTGCACCTTACGCGCGATTATTTAATAACCTCCAAGATAAGAATTCTAAGCATAAAGAGATAATACACAACAGAACAACATAAGCAGTTCTCTAGCTGTGCTTTAAGTAGGAAGCTAGCAGCAGGGCTGCTGGATTATTAAGGATACGTGCCTCCATAAGACGCGCCCGCTGGGCCTGTAAGAGAGCCGCGACTGGATCTATAATTTAAAGCTCTGCCAAATCTGCGGGATAGGCCTTATCTATATATTTATAATACTTCATTCGCAACAGAACGCACTATAGTTAATTATATAGAACGTGTCGCTCCTGCGTACAGACAGAACGAAATATTTAGGTTCCCGAATTTCTATGATTTTTGTGAGGGGGAAGTGGTTGCACCGCCGCTACACAGGTTGCTCTCCTTCGCCTCACCTTTCTATCCCAACTCCGTTAGCCAGCCCAATTATAGAAATACAAACTCATCCTTGTTATAGTTTTCTGTTAACTCTACGCGAGAGATAGTTTAAGGGATGGGCTGGCAATAAAGCCCAGATATAGGCCATCCCATGAAATGTCCCAGAACTGAGCCACTCATCCAAGATGGCCGCAGAAGCTAGCTTGATGTTCCTGAATTGCTTGGTGTTGACTGAATGTCGAACGCCGTAAGGCATCGTCGCCTTGCCGCCTATCTTATCCATATTCTATGTCCTATTTTCTCTTTTTATTCAATGTCCATTCGCTATTCCGGATTCTCTCTGCCTGGACTCATCATTAATGATAAAAACTAAGACAGATTTCATCAGCGAACGAAGGGGGAAAGAGGCACCAAGCTACGTCCCTCTGGGAAACCCTCCATACTTTCAGGAATAGTTCTCAATAAGCCCTCATGGTCATATTGGTATTCATTATGTATTATTTTCAAGTTTATTGTGTCTATTATTGTCTACATGAACTAGTCTCGAGACCTTCTGGCCATCGAATAAAACCGATGACTAACACCCACACTCACGCTGTCGTAAAAGTGCGAGTGTTTTCTTTGAAGCCCTTTAAGCTCCGCTACCCACGTGCTTTCTTCTCTTGCACAAGGCCGCGATGGGATATATTAGTCGCTAGGTCGCGAAGGAATCCGATCTCCGTAAAGATGCGGACCTCACTGGCGTTGCCAAAATCTCCGAACAAATCATGATTCCCGCCTGAATAATAAAGACGGCTATATATAGTAATAGCACAATAAATAGCACAATCTTTTGCATTAACCTCTTTACTAAGTCACCATCAAAACGGGAACAGGGGAACACATTATCCCTCTTCACGCCTCCTACTCATGAGAATCCGTCCTGAAATCCAGCAATGAAGCATAGACACAAATATCAGCCTTCTAAACGGGCTGTCGATATGTTTAAGCAGTCTACGACCTTGCGCAGGCACGCCTCAGAAACCATAAGCAAATGGAGGATCGTCCGCTGTCATTCCTTCAGGCAGCTCATAATAGTCTACATTTTCTTGATCCGTATTATCCAAAGACTCTGTATCGATCGAAGCTTCGCGTAAGTCGTTGCGGGCCATTTCTCGTTTTCGGATCTCCAGACCTTGCATCATTCCATCGGCAGTCTGATAATTGGTTCTTCGAAGATCTCTGCTACTTGATCGTGGTTGAGGGTGGCGAACAAGAAATCAAAACATCGGATTTCCGTACCGTTGTTCTATACTGAAAGTTCTTGAGTCTGGCCGAGTCCTAAAACTGGTTGACTTGATTGAATTGCTTCTTCCACCGCTTTGGTATTCATTCAGTAACAGCCAGAGTGCGCTTTATAGCGGCTTTGGAATTATTGAGAGTATTGACGGGACCACGTAGCTTCCAAATAGCCGTCGCGAAGCTAGGAAAGTCCATTAGCCAAGCTGGTCGAGTCCGTGAAGTCGGACACGCTTAAACTGGTCACAACGAGGATGGTGAGAATTTGAAGCTGAGGGCCGAGTCTTTGAGGCTGCCTGAGGATTTTCACACGCGTCTTTGTTACCAGTCCTTGGAACCACAAGTTGGGATCCAGTGTCCGTATAACGTTGAAGGAGTCCTCTTTGCTGACCTTTGAAACCCCTGTCTTCACCTACGGTTGTTAGTCAGCACATTAGCGATTGGATTACGTCGACAGCTTACCTGAATCGCCCAAAGGATCCGATTTTCCGGCTGCTGCTCATGATTGAGCATAAAAACGAGATCGGGGCCGGCCATATTGCATGGAAAATACCAAGGCGCAAAGAATTGTTGTTTCCTGACTCGTCGTAGCTGTCGCACGTGTCTCAGGCAATACCATACCCATGTACTGCACTATTCACTCATTAGGACTAGCTCCTTTCTCGTACAGTATATAGTCAGCCCAGAGCTCTCTCGAGCTCCTTAGACCTTACAATACACTAGTTCAATCCACCTTGTTTGGATCTCAATACCTTGTCGACTCGCCTACCCTATGACCCCTTCTCAGCTCATGCGAGAGTAGCCAGTCCTGAAATTTTATATCTGAACCTAACGAGATATCGTCTTGAATGGCCCAATCGGGTTCTTCAACAGTGTAATCTGCTAAGTTTGACATAGACAATTCCTGTGGAGCTTCGGAATTTCGAAGAATGGGATACGGTGTGTTGAGCATTTCTAAAAAACGCTGCCTTTCTTGCGGTACAACTCGTGCCACACCATTTTGCTTTAATAAGAGACCACCGAAAGACTGAATAAATCAATCAATGAGTTTGTCCGAAGCGATACGCATATAGTACTCACCCATCCCATGTAATAATCGGCCGCCTTACCAAACATTGAGTGATCGTCATGATTATCGTAGATCGAAAATCTAAGAATCTGTTCATGACGGTCGTTCTGGATCTGAATATGTTCGATAACAGTGCGTAAAACCAAGGGTTCAACCAGTTCCTGTTCGTGGCATCCAGGCCCTCTCTTGCTTGTCCAGCTGCTGATGGCCTGACCTGCTACTTTACACAAGAAAAAAAAAAGATTTCGTAGACTTTTCCACCGCTCTACTAACGAAGCAATCTCTTCCAAGCAACACTTAGGATACTTAAGAGCGTAATGCATACAATAGAGTTTACTTAACTCACCATGTCCATATTATCTAGCCTCTACTCATTTACAGCCATAAGCGAAAATGCTGTGTACGGATGCTGGCAGCCAAGGACTTGCTTCCGCAACTGGAGACATTCCTCTATTAATGCAATAGCCTCGCTATTGTAACTTTGGCACTTGAACATGCACTCCAAGTTAGCCATGCTGGCCAGTGCGTCTAGATACTCCTCCCCAAGGATCCTCTATCTGGTCTCCATCCCTTGCACCTCCAGCTCTCTTCGGCCTCCTTCCACCACCCTTGCTACCTGTACGTTGACGCTAAGTTGGACATGCATGCTGGTTAGCGTGTCTGGATGCTCCTCCCCAAGCACCCTTGTCTCCATCACTTGCACCTCCTGCTCCTTAGCATCTCTCCACCGCCCTCTGAGCTTTCTTACTAACCCCACCACTATACTTCTTAGCGTCTCTATATGGTCTGCCTCAAGCGGCCCTGTCCTAGCTTTTGTTAACTTTGTTAGCATATTTTCTGCCTCGTCTGCGTTTCCTATTTGCCACGCGTAGCACGCGGCGTTGCACAGTAGCAGAGCCTACTCCTTGCGCGTCTCTTTGCTCTTAGGTTTCTGTGTTGACGCTGCTCTCGCATGCGGGAAAAGCCCCTAGCACTTCCCTTAATTCTCATACTGTCCTGTTAGAAACTCTAGGCAGAGGTTAGCAATAAACTGCTGTTTCTATCCTTGTATTTGCTCCTAGCTTTTAAGCTATTTTTAGGCCGCTAGCTGTACTAGACTAACGTCCGTCCCTGCGTAGCGAGATACCCTATACAGACACTCCCTAACATAACAAACTTAATAGCCGGTAGGGAAAATACATATCTTTGGAATAGTAGCCTTAAGTTATAAAGTCTACTCTCCCCTAATATCTTTTAGAAACGGGTTCTGCTTACCATGAAATACAACAATTTAGTATAAGCGTCACGCGACCACTTTGCTTTGGCTAGCAGAAGGTGCGTTAAAAGCTTATGGATCTTGTTGAAAGTCTGTTAACTTACGGCTTGTTATATCATTATCCTATCCTAAGCACTGCGCTTAAGCTTGAGAGGTTGTTGTGCTTCTGTGCTAATTCTAAGTCCGCCTGCTAGAAGTGCTAGATAAGGAGGACCCGCACGCCTAGCTTAAAGCAGCTTAGCTGTAATCTATCGCGGCTTAGACCTGTGTATGGCGCCTTTGTCAAGCGCTCCAGGACACCTGAAAACCGGCTCGGATTGGGAGCAGGGCTAGGTTAAAGGCGCTGGTGTCTAGCTCGTGTCAACAAACATACGCAGCATCGAAGCTGTAACTAGCTTCCGATACAGCCGTTCGAGACGTAGTGCAGTAGATGACTATAGCTAATGTGAACGCTTCCATGCCATAGAGATACACCATCGCGCTGCGCTACAGCTCCGCAGACTCGCTGTTGATCCATTATCCAACCCATCACGTCTTCGTCCTTCTTAAGCACATCGCAACCAACACATATACGCATGATACAGAATACTAAGATCCAAGTCTAGGCTTCAGCAAGCGGAGTGAGTATTACTAGAAGGACGCCACGCCTAGACTTAGCCACAGAACCTGAGGTGCTCGAGTGACTCTAAGGCAACAAGCGCTGGCGGCCTAAGCGCTTCGCTTTTAACGCAATACGGCTCTTCAAAGACAAGAAGCCGTCGGCGTTATTAAATTATGTAATAGAGCCAATTAAGATACCATACAGTAAGTGTAAAGAAAGGTGCGTTGTACTGTAAGTAGATACGACGCGGATTCCTAGTGCAATTACAGAATGTTGCTGGTGATAGGATTGTCGGTACAGTCTAAAGATGTTGTAATTAGGCAGTTTGATAGATATCTGGTGCAATAAGTTCACTAATGAACAATTAGTTCTAAGCTGAACCTTTTCCCTTTTCCCTTATCAATTATGTGACTCTACGTGCTAGTGTTGCTTTGCTTCCGTACCACGCGGCGAATATCTAGTATTGAGAATGAGTGATTTTTATTGTTACTATTAGGCTCTTGGAGAGAGCGGGTAAATGCACATAACGCTAAGAGACTAGCTATGGAGCAACAGTGTTCTAAACCACTGATGCTTAACAGAAAAGCTCGTGCGATTGAAAAGTTAGCAGGATTAAAAGGTTTGTGCGATTGAAAAGCTTGTGCGTGTCAAACATCAGTTGTGAGAGGTATTGAGCAGGAATCATGAGGCACAGAGAGGGAATGCAGGATAAGGGGCTGTATGGCAGAGCCACAAGAGAGAGAGTAAACCATAAGGTCAGAAGCAGATGTACGGAGGCCGAGGAGCCTATATCCCCCGTGCCAAGCCGTTAGGGTACTCAGGGGTTGGATAGTTGTAACATAACCGTGACATCAGTGATGTTAAACATCAGTAGTTTAGAACACTGTTGCAACATAGCGGTAGCCTCTCGGCGTTATGTACATACGCCGGCTCTCCCTAGAGGCCTAATAGTAACAATGGCAATTACTCATCTTTAACACATATAAGCCTCTTATCATAAGCCTCTTGCACTAATGCTTTCTCTCTAACTTATAACCACCTCTTTCATCGCCGCGCTGCGCTCTCTTCCCGCCCTCCACTGATCAAGGTCCCACATGAGCCCCTAGTGACAGAACACCTTCATTGAGTGGAAGTACTGAATGTCAATGCAATCATCGGCAATACTCGTGCTGACCTGGCGCTCCGCACCAGTGCAGTCTCGGTTACGGTAGATAAAGACTAAACCTTTCATTAGCGACCTTTTGTTCGATCCCGGAATCTGGTACTTACCGCGGCAGGTGTCCGCGATGTACTTGACATCCAGACGATCTCTAGGGAGGGGCTTGCAGCCATCATCGGCGTAACTGTACCCATCTCCTCCTACTCCCAAGGTGCAGGCCACATTGCCGCCATAGACATTGAATTTCACCGCGGGGTCCACCACAGCCGAGACTGAAGGGAGAGCGACCGCGAAGATTGAGAGGAGAATTGTTTTGAGCATTTTAAAGGTTAAAAGAGTGAAGAAGTTGAGGTGGCACTTAGTAGATTTAACGTTGTAATCTTGAAGGAGAGTTGAAAGCTTGAGGTTGTTGTGATGAATCTAGCAGGACACTAGCAGTATATTTATACTATAATGACATCTAGCTTTTCTACGTCTGTTTAAACAGACTAACTCTTCTTGATCCCGAGTATACAGCTTTGATGCACCAGCGTTGGGCTCTCTAGCGATGTCCATGAATTGTTGGTGAGGCTACACCGCCGAAGTATCTGCTTAGGCCACACCCGAGCAGCCGCCATGAATCCGGAATGTTCGACATTCAGTAGTTAGCTGGAAGGATTAAAATTCAATTTAATCAATGAGCTGAAAGCTGAGAAACGCGGTGTCGCCCCTTGGCACCTAGCATGCTAAGCTTTACCGGTATCCAGTGTTGCACAAGAAAACTGAACTCTATGTCCACTCGCTGCAAGCTTTCTCTGCGGTTTGTTTGGCACTCATGGTCGCTTTACTTAGGCATATGTATTTTGGCGCTCTCATTGTTCGAAAGAGCCAGGGGTGCGAAGCTAAAATAACTAATGAATTCGTAAGTTTCGACCGTGGTTGACCCCTCATGCTATAGCGCGCAAATATGGATAAACACGACCCACCCCTACGATGCAGTGCACTATATCCTCAGCCCATTTCGAGTACCATCCTACTACGCTGATTTGCGTCTAAAACAGACGACGTGCGCGCGGTGCCCGACTTTCGCAAACATTCCGGATTCATGGCCGCTGCTCGGGTGTGACCTGATTAGATACTTCGGCGGTGTAGCCTCACCCCGATAATTCATGGACATTGCTGGTGAGCCAAACGCTAGTGCATCGAAGGTGTATACTCGGGGTCAAGAACAGTCAGTCATGCCCACTGTGTGAGACCGTCCCGCCCGACTCTGTCCTAGACGTTGCTCATTGTATTCCTCTTCAACGTGCCGAAGCGATATTTGGTTGCTGCTTGGTATATATATAGGTTACGCTGTGCTCGAGAGGCAGGAAGACGTGATGGGTGGGAGGGGTCAACGGCGGGTCTGGGGAGCTGGAGGGCGATGCGATGGTTCGTCTCTATAGCATGGAAGCTTCCACCTTAGGTGCGGTCATCCCTTGCACTACATCTCGAAGTTGTACGACGGCTGTGTCGGAAGCTGATTGCGGTTCGCGGTTTCACGGTTTTAAGGCCGGATTGGCTTTGAAGATAAACGCTCGGGCTTGAGAACCTCCGTGCTGCTCCCAATCCAAAGCCGGATTTTAGATGTCCCGCAGCGCTTGGTAATGGCGCTGCACAGCCACGGGTCCGCTAGTCGTCACAAATAAATTACACTAACGATGGGGTGGGACGTGCAGGACGTTTGCACGAACGAGTATCGGCGTCGATCGACGTGGCGACGCCACATGAAGTTGCGCGCCACAGCAGACGCAAGGCTGATGATGACTTGCTAGTATTTTAGAGAGGCTTTGAGGCTAGCATAAGGCTTTTTTATAAAAATTCGGAGCGAAAAAGACGTACCGTCGGTGCTGTGGGATGGGAAGTTTGTTACTCTACGAAGAAGGCGCTTACAAATTAGGCGTGGAGGCGACGATGCAAACGTAATTTTTAAGGAAGAGTGATAATGGAGATTCAGGATTAGCTACAGCTGATTACTTCCACGGAATTATAGCAACATTCGTTGTGCGCATGGGCTTTCAGCCGCTGAAAATCAAAGTAACTTACCCCTCATTTGTCTCGCCACACAGGGTCTCTCGCTACACAGGGATGCACATTATTCATTTTAACGTATTCGTATCTGTTGCAACAGAGATAAACAAGTAGTCTTGTAGTTAGTGTGAGAACATCATCTTCAAACCCGTTGTCGATGCTGGCTTCTGAGATACTATCATCCTCGTTACTGTCTGTATTATGTTCCTTGTCTGACTCTGCACTACTGTACTTATTTCCCATAGTGCCCTAGTCGCGAAGTAGGGCTTTAAGGACCTCCTGTCGGTTAAACAAGCTCACAAGCGACAAGAGGCTAGCTACTGATTGTCCTGTACTTCGGATATGCTCAAATAATATCTGCTACGTAATGATGATAGAGTTCTTGGCTTCTTCGTCTCTTCGGAGATGCCCGGTTTCTGGTTTAGTAGACTTGTCTTTCTTTTGTCGCTCCTACAGCATTCCTTAGGTATTGTCCCACCAAATATCTCGGTGCTCGATGTCGGATATATGCTGCCTCCCGCACGAGAGCGAGTGGCATGTGCTCTAACGCTGTTGCTAACTCAGCAATGCCATCTTTTTTGGCATTGTCTCCTAGCTTCCTGTCAAGGGGAGCTTGTGTACCTTCATCTTGCATCGGCTAAATTAATATGGTATCGCTGTCCTCAACCAGCCGTGATGCTACATGCTTCGCCCGACTGGTGAAAAGGAGCAAGCCATACTTATTCGGAGGTAGATACCTCGACATGTGCTGCGGAAGAGCGCCGTTTCCGCCGTCCGCCTACGTCTTCTGGCTCTTGCATGATGGAGAGAGAATAGCAGCGCTGTCGGCCTTGTCGAGGACTAGCAACCACTTCCCGTGTTTCTCGTCGCGGAGCCAGTCGTGGACAAGCTTAAAGACGTTTGCTTGTTGGTCTTTCCGGCCAGCAAGCTTGAGTCGGTGCGCAATGTCTCGGAAGCTTTACTCAAGGCGGGCTGCATTGCTTGCGTGCACCCAGAACACCCATGTGTCTGGTGATGCTCCCACGATACGATAGCAGTGTTCGATGGCGAGCTGCGATTTCTTTTTCGCATGTTAGGTACGAGCATTGACCCATCAATTACTTGCGCGTGGCCCAAGGCGTCGCCGAGCACGACCCCGCGGTTGTTAGAGATCGCATTGGACCCTGCAGTTTTTAAAGATTGTATTGAACCCCTTCGCGCCTGTTGAGACTGTCAGCGCGCTGTCAGTCATTGTGTTTCAGGATAATCTCGTATATAGAAACTTTAAACTGTGTTAAATCCGTATTCATAGCACTCGAAGATGCCAGCTCAGACGTATCGCATGAGCTGAGCGTGGCTGAGCTGGAAAGCAAAGCCTTGCACAAGGCGCTCAATTTATCCAATGGTCGTAGACGCGCCTGCAATACTAATAACACGCCAAGCCATGATGCCTATTGGAAGATAACTCGGGCGGGGCTTAATGCACGATTACAATACTTCGTCCTAGTCCCTCCATCACTACCTACCTACCTAGACCGCTTCTTTGCTACATTATCAACATGGCAGAACAGTACGGATTGGGAGACCCCCTTTTTGATCCTCAGGAGGCTAAAATAGAGTATGGAGAACCGCCTTATCTACCTAAAACCTAAGCTAACAAGGCAGCATCGTCTTCATACATGGACTCGGTGGCAATAGGACCAGTACTTGGACATGGGAGGGAGACGGTAGGAAACTTTTCTGGCCGAAAGATCTACTGCCGCAAGACTGTCCAACAGCTCGAATTCTTTCTTTTGGTTACAATGCTGAATTCGCCCACTTCTTTCCTTTCTACGGGCCGAAATTTATGCCAGAGAAGTCAACCATCGACAACCATTCGACTGCGCTATTACGGAGCCTGACTGGCTTGCGTGACAAAACTAAGACTGTAAGGAAAAGGCGAGCGTATATCTTGTTTCGCGTCAAATTAGCTGAGAACATGTCCAACTCTAGGCAAATCGCCCAGTGATTTTCGTCTGTCATAGCCTTGGAGGCCTTGTTTGCGCCAACGCACTGTCAAGGTATCACGGGGCGGACCTAGCCAGCGCCGGCCTCGTGGAGAAAACAGCTGGGGTTGTCTTTCTCGGAACACCGTTCGAAGGAACTTCAAAGGCGAAGTGGGCCGGGAGGGCGCTTAAAGTCTTAGACTGGGTAAGCACAACGCACAAGGAAGATGTGAAGGATCTAGAAGAGCGTTCGGCAAATCTCACGAATATCAACGATACTTTCCAGAAGTTTCTCAAAGCACGGGACCGGTCAGAAACAGGACAGTTTGTCGAGGTAGCCTGTTTCTTCGAGCAGTATGCCATGTACAAGGCTGGGAAAAAGATTGGAATCATCGTACCTAAGGAGTCAGCTTGTCTGCCCGGTATCGACCCGCAGTCGATCCAAGCCAACCACGTTGACATGTGTAAGTTCGAGGATGACGACAGGGAGGGATATAAAAACATTTCGCAACGGTTAAGTCAATGGATATCGGATCTTGACGGGCCGCTTAAGGGTTCTACTGCTAAAACCCAGGTTTGGCTGACGTCCTACACATCTGAAGCTATCTGACAGCGGACAGACACACTCGGTGTACATGGGCGACGTCAACTATCGCGACAAGATTGAGAACAACCAGGGGGTGGTAATGGGCCATGCCTACAGCACGGCCACAGACGGGGTCAGAATAATCGGGAGCACCCACGTATGAAGTCACCAAACTGTTGCGACGCTGATATATCTGCTAATGAGATATACAGAATACATACAACGGCGTTAACCCGAATAATTTGTAGCCGAACGCTGGGTAGGAAAGAGTGCACGTTGTCGCACTTGACTTCGTCTCACGTGATCCTGCGTTAAGGTGAATGTGGGTCCTTGTGTTGCACTAGTAACCTATCCAGGGCCAGCACCTACTACTTTGGACTAGCGCAGCTTTGTATGATATATATCCACCTGGAGCTCCTCCAGGTTCCTCAAACTTTACACAATCGCTCCATCTTGGCTTTCACTACCTAATTGGTCCCTCGCACGTCTATATGGTCTCTATCAATCAACTCTAACCGTGCGATAGTCAATTTCCAGACTGGTTCCTGTAGGAACGTACGGTGGTTGCGGTTGAGGGAGATGGTTTCTAATAGTATTGATATAGCTGTGGATACGGCTACAGTGGCCTTGCGAAAGTCTGAAATGAGAAACTCTAGAGCTTGAAGGAGCTTGAATTATTTGATTTCTGGGCAAGGGCGTGTTCTATCCGGAACCCCAATTGACGTCGGACACAAGCTAGTAAGTCTTAAAGGTCTTCAACACCTAACTCATCTCATTATTGGGCTTGACCTGGTATTTGACTCAGGCAGAAAATGCAGCTTCTCAATCCTTGCAACTTCGAAGCACCATCCTTCTTGCTAACATCGAGTATGTCGACTTTGTCCACTCCAAACCCATGTTTCTCTTTTGCCTTGCAGGTGAGTACTGTATGAGTGAGACTGCAACAATGAACCAGCTGGCGACGTCCTTGCCGCAGCGGTCTCGGTTTTGCTTCGATGCCTACAGGGAGCTCCATTCAGACACTACACGTGTTCTCGCGTACATGCCAAAGAAGGCAGCCTTGAGGGTTTCGATTTTAGTGTGTTTAAGTCAAACAAGGAGAAGAGATCGGGGATGATTATCGGGCTGGGGCGAGGCGTGGTCTAGATGACGCTTGTTGGTGCATCCGACGGAACTTGGTTAGGACAACGGTAATCATCACGTCCATTGCCTGGTCCAGGATATAGTCAACGGTGTATATCCCAAGCCGTGTGTCAGCATTCGGTTTGACTTAATTAGTGATTGACGAGCTGATGTATGTCAATATGAGTCTCAAGAGAAGTGCTGAGCAATGGAGCTTGACTAAATGGAGAGAGAGCTGCAGTCGTCGTGGGGAGGTCAGCACGGCGGATAGTTCTATGCAATACGGTGTTTGCGCTTAGTAAAAATGGTACACTGGGGGTTGACAAATTGGGGGCAGTGATAGTCGGTTGGAAGGGGTCCGATTTCGGATGCGCAGGGCGAATTCTTACATAATTTATTGTGTGCGTTAATCTGTGCAATGTCTTAGCAACACCTTAAACTTTGCTTTCTAGCACTAAGTTTATATAAAAACTTAAAAAATTTGCCTATAAAACCTAATAACTACCTAACATCTTTTAATTTTAGTAAAAATTTAGGCGCTGTATGTACTTTCTATTTAAGAAATAATAAGGCTAGGTTTTAATATTAAAAATAGCTTTCTAGCTATGTTTTAAGCTTATAGAGTCTCTTGTTGCCTACTGTAACGGCACAGGCAAGAACAATAGGTTTAAATGCGGTGGGAATCCACTTAGAGGCATATGGGAGTGCGTGGGGACTTAGAACCTAGGAATGCTATTAACACCTATAGGCCTTGTACAAAAGGATATTAGAAAACTACTAAGCTAGCTAAGAGAAGAGGTGCAACTAAATACTTAGGTAAATAGAGGTAACTGCGGGAGATAAGGTTAAGTTATAGTTAGAGCTAATATAGGGACTCTTTAGATAGGATCTAAGTAACCTAAGATAGAATAATTTATAAAAATTATTACATTACTTTTTTTTTATAAACTAATAGTTTTTATCTATAGTATGTAGAAAATATTTAGAACTAATTTAAAACTAATTTAAATAAAATATAATAAAGTATAACTTTTTAATAAAAAAAATTTATTACTAAAAAAAACTAGACTAAAAACCTAATACTAATATAATACTTTTATTATAATGTTTTTATTTAGTAGTAACTAGTAGTGTAGTTGTTATTAATATAGTAAATTTATTATTTATAGTAATAAGTGTTTACTTACTTTACTTATATAGTTTAGTTAATGTTATTAGTTTCTTTTTTAGCTATTCTTTAAATCTCTACTATGTAGGTATTATTATACACCTAACATTCTATAGCTTAGTCTACTAACTAATTATAGTATTAAAAAATTACTATGCTGCTTTACCTCCCTTTTAGAGCCTTTTCTAGAGGCCTTTTAGGTTATCTGCCTTTAGGCTGCCTACACTTTAGCTTATAGCTTTTAAGTTAAGTTTTTTTTTTAGTTTTTTAAATTAAAGAAATGTAAGTATTACACCTTACATAATAAAAAATATAACTTTATATAAATATAGTTTAATACTACTAGAGTATAGTTTACTAACACGTGTATAAGTTTTTTTATATTATAAATTTTTTTTTTTTTTAGTCTTTTAAAGCTATTTTAAGCTATAAGCAGCAGCCTAAAACATAAGAAGTAAAGAGAATAAAAAAAGAGCTTTTAAGGCTATTTTAAAGTTTACTTAGAACCTAGCGCAGGTAGTATAAGTTATAAAGAGTTAGGAAGCTAGTCTTTCTATAGCTAGTGTCTAGGTAGCCTTGTTCTACTAAAATACTACGCTGCTTTATTAAGTTTTAGCTTTAAAAGCTTTAGTATTTAACTTTTAAGTAAACATTATAGCGCTTTTAAGCAGCTAAAGATAAAGTAAAAGGGTTTGAAAAAAGAAAAAAAAAGAAAAAAGAAAAAAGGTCTAAAAGTGTCACAGTTATGTTACAGCTATCCAACCCCTGAGTACCCTAAGGGCTTGGCACGGGGTATATAGGCTCCTCGGCCTCTGTACCTCTGCCTCTGACTCTAAGGTTTACTCTCGTTACCCCCCTATCCTGCATTCCCTCTCTGTGACCTGTGTTTCCTGCTTAATACCTCTCACATTATAAACCTTTACATATCCTCTTAGAATAAGCAGTCTGCGCAGCGCAGCTAGAGGAAGCTTAACTCTATTAATTTTAATAGCAATAACGCTTACTATAAAATAAGCTAAGTTAAATAAGCTTAGGCACTGCAACTAACAGAAGATAAAGGTACCTCTTATTCTTAATTGTTAGCTTGCAAGCTGCCTATCTACTAAGTTGCCTATCTACTAAGCTGCCTATGCCCTGTCATTAATCTAAGCCCTTACTAGCTACTTTGCGTACGCGCACTAATTGAGCGTTTAAGCTCTTAAGCGGATACAGTGGTGGTGGTAGTTGAATGCAGGATTGTTGTTAGCTGCACTAGCGCTAAGAACCTTGTGTTTTAGCAAGAGGTGCAGCACAGACAGCTTTATAATGCAACTGCCCTTAAGCTTTAGGTAGCTTTAGAAAGTACCTAGGAAGCTTCTAGGCTGTATCCAGATTGCCTTTAGACCTCCTAGATAGCTTTAGGCTACACCTAGTTTGCCTCTAGGCTGTATCTAGATGGCCTATAGGCCTGCAATTGCCTGCTAGCTTTGTGAAGTTGCATTACTGCTAGATAGTCTTTAGGCTGTATCTAGATAGCTGTTAGCCTATACCTAGATAGCTTTAGACTGCACCTAGTTTGCCTCTAGGCTGTATCTAGATTGCCTATAGGCCTCCTAGATAGCTTTAGGCTACATCTAGTTTACTAGCAAACTATGTAAGGTTTAGCAACTAAATTTTTTTAAACTAACCTTAGCTACTTCTTTCTAAGGGCTTAGGACGCGCCCTAAGAAGGAGGGGGTGTCAGATATGCGCACCTACTGTCAAGACAGGAGGAACGTTTGACGAAAGCTGCTACATAGTACGAGCAATAAGCTCGAACAGTATGTTGCTGCAAACTGCTGCATTTTGCAGCATTTTGCAGCATGTTGCAGCAAATTGCAGCAAATTGCAGCATGTTAACGTACTTCATGGGCGAGTTGCTCACACACCCGAGTCGCTCACTTTTGCCAAGACCCCACCAAACCACCCTTCCTACACTAATGCATTCCCCACAACACCACTTAGACGCGCCAAAAGAACGTTAGATACAGCTTGC